GTTATAGAAATGCTACTGGTTTCTGTATATTGATTTTTTATCCTGAAATTTTACTGAATTTATTTATTGAATCTAAGAGATTTTTGGTGTAAGCTTTAGAGTTTTCTAGATTTAAGATCATATCATCAGTGAACAGGGATAAATTGACTTCTTTTCCAGTGAGGATGCTTTTTATTTTTTCTCTTGCCTGCTTGCTCTGGTGAGGACTTCCAGTACTATGTTGAATAAAGGTGGATTAATAAAATATGGTATATGTATACCATGGAGTTCTACTCATCCACAAAAATGAATGGGATATAGCACCTCTTGGATTATCCTGGATAAAGCTAGAACTCATTCTACTAAGTGAAGTATCCCAAGAATGGAAAAACAAGCACCACATGTACTCACCATCAAATTGGTATTAACTGATCAACACTTAAGTGCATATATAGTAATAACATTCATCGGGTGTTGGGCAGATGAGGGGGAGGAGGGGACGGGTATATACATACATAATGGGTGCAGTGTGCATCATCTGGGGGATGGACATGCTTGAAGCTCTGACTTGGGTGAGGCAAGAGCAATATATGTAACCTAAACATTTGTATCCCCATAATATGCTGAAATAAAAAATAAAACTACTATGATTATTATTTAAAAAAAAAAAGAGTGGTGAAAGTAGGCATCCTTATCTTCTTCCAGTTCTTAGGGTGAACACTTTCAACTTTTCTGATAGGTGTGATGGTGGCTTGTTGTATATGGCCTTTATTATTTTGTGGTATGTTTTTCTATGCCTAGATTGTTGAGGATTTTTATCATGAAGGGATGCTGAATTTTATCAAATGCTGTTCTCCATCTATTGAGATGATCATATGGTTTTTGTCTTTAATTCTGTTTATGTGATGTGTTACATTTATTGATTTGTGTATGCTAAACCATCCTTGCATCCCTGGTATAAAACCCACTAAATCGTGGTGTATTATCTTTTTAATGTGCTGTCAGATTTGATTGGCTAGTATTTTGTTGAGGATTTTTGCATCTATGTTCTTCAGGGATATTGGCTTGTAGTTTTCTTTCTTTTCTTTCTTTCTTTCTTTCTTTCTTTTTATTTCAAAATACTAAGGAGGTACAAATGTTTTTGTTACATGGCTTGAGTCAGGGCTATAAATGTGCCCATTACCCGAATAATGTTCATTGTACCCATTAGGTGAGTTTTTGCCCCTTCCTTCCTCCCCTCTTCCCCTGCCCCCTGCTTGATTTCCAATGACTTGTACTTCCCTCTATGCACTTGTGTGCCCATTGGTTAGTTCTGATTTATTAGAGAGTACATATGGTGTTTGTTTTTCCATTCTTGTCTGTGGGATTCTATGTGGGTTCCCTTTCTGGAGCAGCATGTCTGTACAATCTCTAGGTAGCTCCATACGTCAGGTCCGAGGCCTATGTGGGTTGAGAGATTCTCCTGTGGTCAAGATTGTAAAAGCCTATTTCAGAGTGTGGGGCACTGGGAGTTTCTCTTGCTGTTTCCCTGCATCCAGGAGATTCTCCCAGCTCTCAGCCAGTCCCTGGCCCGGCAAACTACCTTAAACCCTCTCCTTACTTACTTTTGGTGCTTCTTATCACTTCTCTGGTAAATCCTGGCATTCTTTCCTGGATAATCTGTTCAGAATGTGAGTATCTACTTACTATTATGGTTCCTGTCTGTGGAAGAGGCACATACTATCTGCCACTTTTTCCTTTAATACCCTAACTAGCTGTGTATTTTTAAATCTGCAATAAAGCCTAATGCACTCAATTTCAAAGACAAAGAGCCAAATGTCAACAAAGCTAGAAATGTAGTTAGTGTCCTGGGTTCCATCTGTATTCAACCTGATAGTCTATACTTTTTCTATCTCTGTTCTCAGCCCTGAGCCATAATAATTTCTGTTCTGATTGATGCCCTGGAAGGTTCCATGAGATCTCTAATAATTAAAGACAGATACTATTCTTGAATTCCATTACATTTGGCAAACACGTTGGGTGGGCTTTCCAGAAAGGGTTGAACAAAAAGTTGTTGAATTTTTTTCCCTTAAATTTTACCTAATAAGAAGATACTCTCTGGAGCACCCCATTCCTCCAGGGATCTTGGGGATCCTAGAATGTTGAGACAGAAAAGACTTTACAGATCATGTCATCCAGCCTTCTTAGTGAAGAAATTGGCCCCTAGGGTCCTGCAGCATATTAAGGGCAGAAAAGGGACACAAATCCAGAGTTCTTGAGTTCCAGACCCATGCTGTTGTCATTATATCACTCTACTAGAATCACAAGTTTATTTACACTTGATGTATATATAAGCCTTTAGCTTATATTCAGAAATGGGATGGGAAATTCCATATGGAATTATTTATATTGTATAATACTCAATTTTGCAATCTCCTCATTAAATTTTTTTTTTTTTTTTTTACTCTGTCTCACTCTGTTGCCCAGGCTAGAGTGCCATGGCATCAGCCTAGCTCACTGCAATGCAACCTAAAACTCCTGGGCTCAAGCGATCCTTCTGCTTCAGCCTCCCAAGTAGCTGAGACTACAGGCATGTGACACCATGCCCGGCTATTGTTTTCTATATATTTTTAGTTGTCTGGCTAATTTCTTTCTATTTTTAGTAGTGACGGGGTCTAGCTCTTACTCAGGCTGGTCTTGAACTTGTGACCTCAAGCGATCCTCCCGCCTCGGCCTCCCAGAGCGCTAGGATTACAGGCGTGAGCCAGGCCTCATTCAATTTTTATTTCCAGTGAAATCGGTAATTTTAACAGCCTAAACTTTGTTTCAATACTCAGTTTAAACTTCCTGCTCACTTGAGCCCTTGCTCTTTCTTTGCACTGCCCTTGTTTAGCAATGTGGTGGGTGTGCTTGGCCCAGAACCCCTGCATGTGACTCTTCTCCTTTGTTCCTTAAAAATCCCCTGCCTACTCCCCTCTCCAGTACCCAGGGACCTGTTTGAGCAGGATTTTTTCCTGGAGGAAGGGGCGGGGTCAGCAGGACGAATGTCCTTCTAAACCTTCAAGTATGCTTGTTGGTACTGTGGGGATAGGGGCTAAATTTCTAGCACTCAGGCCAGGCCTAGCTCCTGCTCTGGTCTGTCTGTCTGAGAAGTAGATTCTGAGATGAGATCTGCCTGCTGTCACTGCAGTAGGGAGCATGCTGAGGGACTTTAAAGTCTTGATGCAGGTGTCTCAGGGACAATGGAGATCGCGTTCCAGGAAAGCCAGACTCTGATTGTCTGTGTGCATTTGCTCTTAGTGCATGTGGGAGGGCTCATGCCTTTTCCTTTCTGTCTCTCTGACTTTTCTCTCTCTCTCTCTCTCTCCCTAAATAATCTCCCTGGCTCTTTCTTTGTGTGTCTCTCTCCCTGTGTCCTTGTCTTCTGCCAACTTCCTACACTCATTTGTCTCCGCCTCTGCCCTGACCCCACCTCTTTCTTTATTTCTGTCTCTTTTCCTTAATTGGCCATAATTTAGAACTATAGCCTATTATTCCTAAGTTATTCGATTGAATAAAATTTTAACTTTCCCATTCATACATTTAAAGGCTGAGAAGCAGAACAGTATGTATTTTTCACTTAAACACTAATTTAATGGCAATTTAACTTATGTCACCCCAGGTTAGACTTCTCCTGCCCTTTAAAGCAATGCCCATCAATATTAAAGTCCCCCCTCCGGACCCCATCTGAGCCTGGGGACAGAGGTCTTGCTCTCTGGTTCTGCTTCTCTGACACTTTAGCACTCGGAGGCAATGAGGACTGTAGGGGAATGTGGGGCTCAGGCAGAGACGAGACCCTTGGCGGAGCACTGCCCCCACCTATACAGATTTGGACCTTTCCCTGAGTGGCCCTTACATATCAGGGCATGGATGGGGAAGAGGGACTCATGGGGAGGAATGGCCTCGACCTAGCAATATGCTACATTCTCGAACCCTTCGAGTTGTTCTGGGAGCTTAGGGGCCAGAGAGGAGCTGTCCAGGCCACAGCCTCCGGAGAGCCCAGGCATGGGCTGGGGAGAAAGAAAGGGGAGGGAAACAACAACCATGGTAGTAGCAAATTCCTACCAAGAGCCTACCTTGGGCCAGACATTTTTAATAAGTACTTTAAAAGTTTAATTTCACATAATCCTTGCAACAACATATGCAATAGGCAATACTATGCTTATTTTACAAAATAGTAACCTGAGTCACCAGGACAAGGTTAGCCAGAATGGCCAGTTAAATTAGAATCTCAGATAAGCAATGAATAATAATGTTTTTGTGTAAGCACATCCCAAATATTGGCTAGAACATACTTAAAACTTTGTTCGTTTTTTTACCTAAAATTCAAACTTAACATGGGTTCTGTTTTTTTATTGGCTCAATCCGACAGCCCTGGCACAGAGAGGTAAGGAACTTGCTCAAGATTTGCAGCTGTTAGTGGCAGAGCCAGGGTTTACACCCGGACAGTCTGCCCCGGGGGAGTTGTGCTGGGCCTGCCTCCACACTGAGGGGTCTGGCTGTGACCTCCCTCCCTAGGTGGCCGTGGCTGTCTCCGCACCAGCTCCTCAGCCACACTCTTTGTACCCCCAAAAGCATGGGTGGCTCATTGCATTAAAATTTATTGACTCAACACTTGGGTATCAAGCACCTGTTGTGTACAACCCTCTCTGCTGAAGTAGCTCCGGTTAACAGGTTAATTCCAGAAAGGGATGGAATAATCCTCATAAGTCCCTCTCCTTCTACATATTTCCATCTAATATGACCTTGACTGAGGGTCTGCTATGCTCCAGGCATGTCACACACCCATTTTCAATGAAGTGTCTGGAGACATGTCCCCTTGTTTGTTCTCTGCCCCAGGCCAGTGACTAATGAGGCGATTCCCAGGTGGGGTAGGGTAAGATGATGACACCGTGAGTGCAGACGGGGGAGAGCGTGGGGCCCCGTGGAGGGCCTCTCACTCGCAGCCTGTGACTGCTCCTGCAGGACACCGTCCCCAACCTTTCTTACCGCGCCTCCCGCAGGTACTACTTTCCATGCCAACGCTGGCTGGCCGTGGAGGAGGATGACGGCCAGCTGTCCCGGGAGCTGTTGCCAGTGGACGAGTCCTACGTGCTGCCAAGCGAGGATGAGGAGGGTGGTGGTGGTGGTGACAACAACCCCCTCGACAACCTGGCCCTGGAGCAGAAAGGTTTCCTACACTGGGGCTGATTTCTTCTCTCCAGCATCCTTCCCCTCTGCCTCCTTCCACCCTAGGTCTCCATTTTCCCTCCCTCCCCTGTGGGCTCTGGGCACCTCCTCCTCTGACAGTCTGTCTATCTGTCTGTCTGTCCCCCCCTCTCATTCCTCCATGGTAAGAATGGGAAGGTGAGGAGGGCATATTCCCATATGTCTAGCCAAGGGCTGGGTACAAAGCACATGGCTTAGGACAGAGTTATTGTCAGTAATAGAATCCAGGTCCGATTCAACTTGTGCCCTCCCTTCTAGCACATTATAGGCGCTCAATGCATTTTCGATAAAGGAAAGAATGAACAGTAGCCTTCGAGAGTTCTATAATGCTGGGGCTCCTCCCCGGAAGCTTGCATCCCTAAAACTCTTCCCAGCCTAGAGGAGTCAGGTTGGGGCTCTTGGCTGGTGAGCCTCTGTCCCTTGAAGTCACCCCAAGTCTTTCTGAACCATCCTATCAACTCTATTGATTGAGGACTTACTGTGTGAGCTAGAGGCAGAGAAACCTCATCTCTGCCCTCTGGAAATATCCAGACTAATGATGACTGCAGAACAACACATGCTGCAGGTAAAATGATCCATAGAAATGGCCAGCATGAGCACAGAAGCGTACTTATTACTAATCACAGGCTCACAGGTGTAGGATGGAAGGGGCGGGGGGAGAACTGGAGCGATGGAGCTGGTGGTGCACATCTAGGAAGCCCTGCTAGAGGAGGCGGCTGTCCTCCCTCCTCCCTTCGTGGGAGGAGCAGTCTACAGCTCACTGCTCTACCTGCTTCTCCTGGCAGATAAATCTACCACATTCTCAGTGACCATAAAGACTGGGGACAAGAAGAATGCAGGCACAGATGCCAATGTCTTCATCACACTCTTTGGCACGCAAGATGACACCGGTAAGAAAGCCACACAGGGCTGAGGTTCACCCACATTCCTCCCCGGGGAGATGGGCAGACTCAACAGCAGTTCCCAAGGAAACCCTGGGCATGCCTCTGTGTCCAGACAAAACTGCAGGCAAATACCCATTAGAGAAAGGTAGCTCCTTTTTCCTCGAAAAAAAGATCTCCTCTTCTCTGTGTGAGCTTTCTCCTTCTGTTCTAATGGCAGAGATGGCTGTAACTCTAACTTCACCCCAGTAAAAACCTGGGATGAGGTGGCTCTTCTTAACTTCCAGCGAGACTCCACCAATGGGCTCCATGGTACTCTCGGTACGAGATGTTGCAGGAATCTCAGAATGACTCTGGAGCCTCTGCCAAGGTGTTCAGAGAAAGTGTTATTTAGTGTTGGGCTTAGCCATCCACTCAGGCCACCTGTCCAGGCATTCTCTCTGGGAGAAGAGTCAGTCCCTCAAATAGTCATCATGCAATGATGGGTACAGAGCCCTGTACCAAGCATTATTAAGAAGTAAAAGACACTCTAGGAGGCCGAGGCCGGTGGATTACTCAAGGTCAGGAGTTTGAAACCAGCCTGAGCAAGAGCAAGACCCCATCTCTACTATAAATACAAAGAAATATTGCCACTAAAAATATATAGAAAAAATTAGCCGGGCATGTGGTGCATGCCTGTAGTCCCAGCTACTCGGGAGGCTGAGGCAGGAGGATCGCTTGAGCCCAGGAGTTTGAGGTTGCTGTGAGCTAGGCTGACGCCACGGCACTCACTCTAACCTGGGCAACAAAGTGAGACTCTGTCTCAAAAAAAAAAAAAGAACTAAAAGGACCTATTCCCTGACCATGGGGTGCTTATATGCTAATACAACAGTGTGCTGGAAAGAACACTGACTCTGGATTTTGGCTGATTGGTTCAAATTTCCATTCCACCATTTATTAGCGGTGTGACCTTGGGCAACTTACTTACACTTTCTGTGCCTTATTTCCTTGCATTTATAAAATGGGGATAAAACTAGTATGTACCACATATAGGTGTGGGATTTATGAATTGAATATGTGAAATATTTGGGACAAAGTGGAACTCAATAAATGTCAATTATTATTATTTAATAGGTTAGATAAAGCAGATAACATATAATGAAAGAATTAGGTCATAACTTACAAACGCATGTGATTGCAACAGTTCCTGAACCATGATCAAAGGAATCGATGGTCCCTAACAACTGCTTTTGTTCACGGAGGGCTTTCTATGTGTTAGACACATTCCCAAGCACTCTAAAGTCATCATACTATTAAATCCTAACAACGACCCTTCAGCAAAGGCACCAAGCCCTCTCCTTTGTGACATTCGAGTAAACCAAGTCTCAGAGACATTAAGTAATTTTCCCAAGGCCACTCACATGGTAAGTAGCAGAGCCAGGCATTGGACCAAGGTCTGTCTGTCTCTCTGTGCATTTATACCCTTCTGCAATGAGTCTATGAATATCAGAAGACTTCCTGCATGAGGTGAGCCCAGAGCTGGGACTTAAAGGCTATGTGGCATGTGCTGAGGCAGGAGGAGATGGCCAGGACTCTGAGACCACCTCTAGTTTCAGACTGACACCAGAGCCAGAGTCCCAGGATGGATTACATACGTGAGATTTGGTGCAAGGCAGTTGAAACCAACCTCATCTGTCATTTGGAAAGGAGTCTGCAGAGATCCCCACCTGTCCTATCCCCGGAAAGGACTCCCTGTTTCCCAAGCAAGCATGACGAAGGTGGCTTTGTCACTGGCTCCCTGCCCACATAAAGAACTGTGAGCGGTAGGGAAAAAGAGCAGACATGGAATTAGGGTCCCACCACTTTCTCCTGGGTGTTCTTGGATAAGGACTTTCTTTAGACATAAACTGGAAATCAAATGCACACCTCAAAGAGTTGTCATAAAGCTCAATAAAGGACACACACCCAAAAAAGGCATTGGACCAGGTGCAAAGGTGCCTAGTGGATGATAATTGCATAGTCTAAATTTGGCAGAAGGTCAGAAATACAGTCACTCTAAGGAGGGACTAAAACATTTAGGTCAGACTAGGTTTAAAAGGTCTCAGGTGCAGCCGGTCATGTTGGGGTCATCCGGTTGGCAGGAATGACCCTCCTGAAGTCCTCCAAGACCAACAGCGATAAGTTTGAGAGGGACAGCATTGAAATCTTCACGGTGGAGACTCTGGATCTGGGAGACCTGTGGAAAGTCCGGATCGGCCACGACAACACAGGTTTGGCTGCCTCTTCTTCCCGATCGTTCTTTGCTGAGGCCGTAAGTTCCGGGGACAGGTTTCTGTGGGCAGCTGGGGAAGACTCTGGAAATCTGAATGCCATCTGCCTTCCCTAATGACACAGCCTCTTCAATCCTTTAGCTTGGTGAACCCACAGCTCAGACCTAAAGATTCTGGGCTGTCCTGGATACTGGTGATTTTTAAAACATTTCCCATTCCCTAACTTTGGTAATCTTAATGTGGAGCCAGATTTGAAAACCCCTGATCTAGCTCAGTTGTTCTCTAACTTGAGTGTGCATCGGAACCACCGGGGTGGGGGTGGGGGGTTATTAAAACAGATTTCTCAGCCCTACCCCCAGAGTCTTTGATTCAGTTGTGAGTGTCATCCCTGCCATTGGGTGAAATTATAAAATTTTGGTGAATACAAGCTCTTTTCAGCATCTCTGAGGTCCCTGTTTGGAGCCCCCTCCACCCTGGACAGCATTCTTGCTTTTTCCTACCCACACTCTCCAGTCCCCCCAAATCCCCCCTACCGTCCTGTCATCTCCTCCCAATGGTCCTTCATTCTTGCCAATTTCACTGACAGCAGCTTGGAGCGTGGTTTAGCTTCAGCTGGGTGCATGCGGTAACAGGAGTCGTTTTAGCAATGCTGCAAGCAGAAGGGATGGCACACCAATGGTGGGCTATAGGTATCAGCCGTCGAGTAGGGAAGGATGCTGGGAGTCCCTGATGTCACCCACAGCAATCCATCTCTGCACAGGTGCTTGATGGGTTCTGTGTCTCCTCTCTCTCCAGGCAAAGGCCCAGGCTGGTTTGTAGACTGGGTTGAGGTGGATGCCCCGTCTCTTGGAAAGTGCATGACATTTCCCTGTGGCCGCTGGCTGGCCAAGAATGAAGACGATGGGACCATCGTTAGGGACCTCTTCCACGCGGAGCTTCAGACGAGGCTGTACACGCCATGTAGGGACCACATGTGACAGGGCTGGCCCTCTCCAGGTCCCCATCCCTGGCAACCCCAGCTTGGCCCCAGTTCCTCCTCCTCTAGTATTGACTCTGTGCCAGGTCCATGTTGGAGAGTTGGGTCTCTTGTCCTTTTCCCAAACTTCCTGTGGGGGTCTGTGGGCAAAGCCCTGGCCCCACACGCTGCTTGCTAGCAGTGCTGATGGTTCAACTCTATTCAAGGACAGAGAGTCCCTGGTAGGGCAGAGTAAACCCTGGAGCAACCCTCACCTCTTGCTGTCCCTTCCTCTATGAGAGACTCTGTAAAGTGAAGGAACCTGCATGAGGGGTCAGGTGTGGTACGGGTGGGTTGGGGAGGGCAGACTAGGGAGTGAGGGGCTGGGATCAGGGGATGGGGGAGAAGAGAAGGAATTCTCACCACTGGCTGATCCACTTGGTGAGTTGCCCCTGAAATCTAAAGCTCCTGTTTATGGAGCATCTTTAGCGAAGCACCATGTCAAGTGCACTTTACAGATAGTGGAAACTGAGGCTTGTGAGTAACTTGCCCTGGTCACACAGATGGTAGAGATGGCCCTGGGATTTGAGCGTAGGCTTGTCAAATTTAGGAGTCTGTGCTTCAATCACTCTGGTGCACTAGCTCTGGGATGTGAGAGGCTCATAGACCCTGGTCTGAGGGGACCGGGGCTTTTCATGGGCACCGGGCAGGATGGGCCCCACCTGTGGTTGCTAGGCAACCACGTGACAGTCCAGGTCCTTGGGCAGCAGCTCTCCAGTGCAAGGACCCAGGCAGGTGGTGCTGGGGAAGAACTTGTCCTCACCCATGCTTATTTTCTGTCCTTTCGTCCCCTCTGGTCACCACCCCCAGTTGTTCCTTATGAGATCACCCTCTATACCAGTGATGTCTTTGCCGCTGGGACAGATGCCAACATCTTCATCGTGATCTACGGCTGTGATGCTGTGTGCACCCAAGAGAAGTACCTGTGCACCAACAAGAGGGAGCAGAAGCTGTTCTTTGAGAGGAAGTCTGCCTCCCGCTTCATCGTGGAGGTACTTGGGCTCAGTGGGCTGCCCAGGGATGGGGCGGGTCAGAGAGAGGGGAGGGAGAGGGAGCCCTGTGTTCAAGGCAGGACACAGGCCCTTCATCTTGGGGAGCTGCTACTAGGCAGGAAGGTGGGCAGCTCATCCAGCCTCTCCAGGCCTCAGCCCACCAAGTAACCAGGAGGACGGTGAAGCTAGCCCTGTCCCTCCAGGACTGGTATCGGGATCAAAGGTGATGATGAGTGGACAGGGCTTGGGAAAACTAGAGGCACAAAGCCAACGGGCATGTCCAGTGCTTCCAACAACAGACACGTACCTACAGGTGGGGTGTGGCTTCCAGACTTGCTGGTTCTGGAGGTCTCTTGGTTCTGTTGGCCAGGGGTGGGTGGCAATCTCACCACCAGTGGTCGCGTGGGGCTAGGATCTTTTGTTCAGCTCTCAAGCTATGGCCAAACATGCAATACAGAGGAACAACCCATGTGCTCCATGGCTACCCTTCAGGTCTGGGCAATGGGAGTGGTATTGTTCAGTGTTTACAAGGGATGCAGGTCTTAGCACCTTGGAATCTCATACACTTCAATTCAGTGCACACTCACTGTGCCTCTCTGTGTGCCCAGCTGTGGCTGGGTTGGGTGGGAGACACAAGAGGAGGGCAGGGCTCAGACCCTGCCTGCAAGGGGCTTACAGTCTATTGGGGACCCCAGACCTCCACACAAAGAAATGAGAGTGACAGTGATCATCATCCTAACTGACCCCGTGGGGCACTGTCATGAGGAGTTTATGTATATGAACTCACTTAACCCTCACAACCACTCTGTGCTGTAATTGTTCCTGTGTAAATCTGGGGAAACTGGGGCACAGAGAGTTTAGCAGCTTACCTAAAACCACACAGCTAGGACATAATGGAATCAGGATGTAAACCCAGGAGGATTGGCTCTGGAATCTGTGCTCTTAGCCACTGCAGCAGATGAGCCAATGGGCTGGGCTTTGCCATAGGTGTTGAGAGAAGGAAGAAGGGTTCCTGGAAGAGGTAGAGTTGAGCTGGACCTGAAAGGGAGCCTCAGCAGGGACAAGAAGGAAAGGCATTCCTAGTGAGGGGAACAGCATGGCCAACAGCCCAGAGGTGGAAAAAAGCATATGGTTTGAGGTTCAGCCAGATGGCGGGGGCACAGGAGGAGAGTGATGTGACGTGGGTGGAGGGCAGGAATGAGGCAGGACTTAAAGGAGAAGTGTGGGAGCCTCAGGACCCTGGACTCCCCGGGCAGTGGGGGCCTCTGAAGATGTGTCCTTTATTTTCTGGGGTGAAACAAAGTCCAGAACACCTTCCTTCTTCCTTAGCCAGTTTCTGTCCCTGGGGACCACCCCTGCTCTCTTCCCACCTTCACCAGAGCAGTCGGTGCTTATAGGAAGGTCTGTCACCTTTGTTGAGTCTTTTAAGAGGACAATTCAAGGGTGATTCATTAATCCACACAACACTAAACGTCTCATCCAGCCAAGATGTCACGGTGCGTGAGTCATCCAAGCAGATGCCGTCAGTGGCTGAGGCTGTGATGACACCTCAGCAGGACTTCCGGGGGCTTTATCAATGAAGTCCCCACGAATAGCTGCTATAATTTGCTGGTAATTTTGTTGCTATTTTTTTCTTTTCAAATCTTTCTGGGTCTTGCGGGTGTGTGAAGTTTGGAAACAAATGAAAAGGCTTTGTCTCCTGGCCTCTGTCCTTCTGCTCACCCATGTCCCTCTCTCTCCACTTCTCTTTCCTGATTCATCTTCAGGCAAGAAGTATATTGTGGTAGATTGTCCCCCAGAGGGACAGTGCTCGCTGGAGTGCGAGGCCATAACCCGAGGTCTGACGCTGGCTTGGGTGCTAACTCAGGGGCAGGCCACTCTTCTCTCTGTGGCTCCTTCCCGAGACAGAGGGGGTGGCCAGAGCAATAATAGCTAAGAGCTATTGAGCACTGCTCATGCACCAGCCCGGGTCTAAGGACCTGTTGTCTATCAACTCATTGAATCCTCGTAACACATCCGAGACATACGTGGTATGATTACCCCATTGAGGAAACAGCACACGAAAGTTAAGTCATTCACTCAAAGTATCACGAAACAGCAGATCCAGGATCTGGACGGTTTAGTTCCAGAGTTTTCTCTGCTTAATTCTTTTGCTTCCGGGGAGAACACTTGGGTCCCTTCGGAGGCTGACGTCTTCTGACTCCATGTCTGAGGCTCCCCATCCATGGCTAGCAGGCCCCTAACGGCCTCCTCGTTCTCTGCGGGGTTAGTGCTGAGACAGCTACCCTGGCACACGCAACTGAGCGATGGGAGGATTAAGGTCACGGAAGCACTAGTGGAGCTGGAGGCCCACACATCTCGACCCTCAAAGAGCTGGGACCGGAAAGAGGCACCTGGATGCAGGGAGAGGCAGGCTACTCTCACTCCCTGGTTCTGCTGGACAGCCCGTGTCCTCAGGTGGAGCCCCTGTGGACCAAGGATGTCCCTTCCCCATAGCTTCTGGGCTGCCCTGGGTGTGAAGGAAGAAGGTCCATGGCACTGATGTCAGCCTGAAATCATCTATTCAATGATCTTTGTGCAATGAGTCAGAGCCTTCAGGGGCTCAGAAGACCCCAAAGGGCCATTACTGTCAGGTTTCTGATGAGGACTTGGTGGCTGGGCAGTGGGGAGTTGGGGGGTCCTGCAGGCTAACAGCAGCAGCTGCTGCGGTAGCGTCCGTGTTAATTCCCAGGCTTTGCAGCGGTGGGCACTGCACTGGCCACTTAGAACTAGAAAACAGTGGACAGAAAGAACCATGTCTGTGATCTTAGACCTGGGAGTGACCTCAAGGTGTTACCCCATCCATTCCCCTGCCTTTGGCTGAGTAAGACACCGCTCCCCACCCTATTTTGTAGATGAGGAAGTTAAGGCCTGGAGGGTCGGGTGGCTTGCCTAAGGTCACACAGGTAGCAGGAGGGGGGTGGGACAATGTTCCCCAAGCAATGCTGGTGGGCTCCCCTTGGCTGCCAACAGCAGGTAGGGATGTGGGGAGGGAGGAAGCCACCAGGTGGAAGCTGCTCCAGTTCATTCAGAGGCCTCTTCCACCTGTGCTCATGGAGGCTTTGTGTTTGATGAATGACTCAATCAATCCTTCAGACACCATTCACTCATCAGGAGTTTGCTATTCAATGGGAGCTGGCTACGCTGCCTCCCCGTAGCACCTGAGGGCTTAATGGAGTGGGCTGGGCAGCCAGCTCCACAGGGAAATTGTCAGGAGACTCCAGTCTACAGACAGCCCCAACCCCCACCTATTATACCAAACCTCATGCATGAATTCTGTGGACCAACCCTGAGCCAGGGCATCGGAGCCATAGTGTCTCCTTGCTCTTCTTTCCCTCTTCCCTGACCTTCTCCTCCATCCCGTATTCTCATATTGCCCTGGATCCTCTTAGGAATGAGGCGAGGCATGTTATTAATAGGTATGTGTAGAGGAGAATATTCTCAGAGAAGAATGTGACACATGAGAACCAGGAGAGACCCAAGGAGCTCTTGGGGGCCCTTGAGTAGGGACCGGTGGGATGATCAAGGGCAGCCTGGGGGAGAAAGAGCCGGAAAGCAGGTGCCAGGCTGCGTGGGCAGCCTTGCCTGTGTCTGGCCACCCCACTGCTTCCTAAGAGGGGCTCCCAGGGGGTCAGGATCAGTCGGTCCTGACTGGGCCGCTCCCCTATAGTCAAAGGCTCCAGGCAGGAGAGAGAAGAGGCTGCCGCCCCCAGTCCAGGGCTCGCCACGGCACACGTGTGTCAGCTTCTCCATCCAATGGGCCGACCACGCACGCCACGAGGTTAAGGTTCTCATACTGCGGCGGTGTGAGAGGGCCTGGCTGACTCTATCAAACCCATTTTGCCGACATGGAAACCCTCACTCTTTGACCCTTTCAACCAGTGCTCACGGAGGTCAGGGCGCTGTTCTAGGCTTTGGGGTGAACAGTGGGGAGTAAGATGGCACCTGCCCTTGTGTTGTTCACTGGCGGGGAAATGGCAGACACCACACAAATAAATGCATGCTATGACCATGAGGAGTGCTCTGAGGGCAGCTACGCTACGGTCCGAGAGCCTATCATGAAGAGATTTCATTTTCTTGGAGCCATCAAAGGGATTTTCCTGAGGAAGTGAGAGGAAGTAGACCTTCCTCTGAGCAGGCATCGGATTAGGTAAAGAAGAGGAAAGGGGAGGGGCAGGCAGAGCGTGTGCAAAGGGCCTGTGGTGAGAGAATGAAGTCTGAGAACTGGCATTTGTGGGAGCATAGTGAGGGAGTGGCTGGGAGGAAGGGGCTCTTAGGGCCATGGCAGGAGCATGGCAGGACCAGAGTCATCTTCTGATATCCAGCTCAGTTCTCACGTAGGAGACAGGCTGCTACAACAGCAAGTGATAGAAGGTAGACAGCTGGACTGAAGACTGGGACGCCTTCCCAGAGCAGGTGGATGGAATGGAGTTCTGGAGTCCAGGCTAACTTAAAAGTGGGAGGAGAAGAAGTGAGGCAGGTGTCGTGTGTGTGGAGGATCGTGGGGGCTGGCCCGACTGGGCAGTGGGGACATATTGGGAGAAAGTAACCCTGGAGTTCAAAGGGACTCGAGGGTGGATGCCCTCGGGAGGCAGGATATTGCCAAGAGTGTACTTCTCTGGTCCTTTCTCTTAACGTCTGCTGCCTGTTCTCCTTTCCAAAGTTGGAAGACGTGGGAGAAATCATTGAAAAAATCCGGATTGGCCACACTAACACGGGCATGAATCCCGGGTGGCACTGCTCCCACGTGGACATCCGCAGGCTCCTCCCAGACAAGGACGTGAGTTTTGGACTGGTCTGCTCTGCTATTTCTTTTGCCCCTTTCCAGAACAGATTCAAGGCAGAGTCCCTGTAAGAACCTGCTGGCTACTTCAGCCTTGTTGAGATAGAAGATCATGATAAAAATTCATCCAGTTAGTTCACTCAGGGTGCAGGGACTAGCTCTGGTCCAAGGCAGAATTTTCTAGAACCTGGTTTAGTGGTCAAGGAGGACGATATGGGCAGCCGTGTCTCTGCTTCCCATCCCCCATGCCATATCACTGGCAAGTGGCCAAAGTGCCCTTCCTGCTACTCAAGGTCAACTCACAGAAGAAACCTCCCCCCCGAACAATCTGGAAAATACCCTGAAACCACAAAGTTCTAAACCGAAGAGATAGCTCCCAGTCATAGCTGTGGATATGAATGACTTGAGAATGATTACAAAATATAGAGTCCCCTTCCCTTGCCTGCCGAACCTGAGTCTCTGGGGTAGGGTCCAGATATCTAAGTGACCCTGGGAATCCTGGCCTTTGAGGGCCAACCTCTGATATGGTTGTACAAGTCTTTAAGTAAGAAATTGTGGCATGGGGTCCCTGTGGCTTTTGCATTATTTGTGGGGCCCTAGGACCCTTGTCCTTGGTCTCCATGAGTACTGGCATGCTGATGAGTCACTGAAGCTGGCCGTTTCCACACTGAGGGCTGTTTCTCCTCTTTCCTCCTCACCCCAGGGTGCGGAGACCTTAACTTTCCCCTGTGATCGATGGCTCGCCACCTCTGAGGATGACAAGAAGACCATTCGAGAACTGGTTCCTTATGACATCTTCACTGAGAAATACATGAAAGATGGGTCCTTAAGGCAAGTCTACAAGGAAGTGGAGGAGCCTCTGGACAGTAAGTGTGATGTGGTCACCTTCATTGCCATGGGCAGTTCTGGGACCACGGCCGTCCCTTGAAGAGCACCTGCCCTGTGCCAGGCTGAGCCTCTTCACCCAGGAGGAGGGTCCACTGTTATCTCCATTCTGGAGAGAGGCCCACTGAGGCTTACTGAGGTGGCACGACCTGCCCAAGTTCACACAGCTCATAAATGGCCCAGCTAGCTTTCAAAGTCTCAGCTGTCTCTCTCCAAAGTTTGTGCTTGAATCCTTTTCTGGTCTGACATCGTGTTAATAACATCTAACTATGGTGTATCTGGTGCCTGGATTATCCTGGTCTTTGTTTCCTCCCTACTGTTCATTCATTGGGCTGCCAGTTTCTCTATGGCTTGGTCCTCTCTGCTCTTGCCAGTTCCAGCTGCCCCAACTTAGTATGAATTGAGGAACATTATGGACTCTGAAGCCATTCTGTATTTGTGCTCAGTGGCTGGGTGCAGCTTCAGAATATCCAAGGTCATGGTTTTGCTTTCTGTACGGGCCAGTTATCTTTGTCCATTCTTCGTCGATGCAGTTCTTTCTGCAGGATTTGCAGCAACTTGACCAACAACCTTCTTGTGCTTCCTCCTCCTTTGCTTTTGGTGACACCACCCTATTCTGGGTCTCCCCCCACCTCTCTGGATGGTCCAGTGGGTGCTGGTTTTGTTTCTCATGCCAGATAGCAGTCCTCAGGGCCCAACCCTCAGCCTTGCCTGCCTTCTCTTTCTGCATTGCATGTGTGTGTGTACTCAGGCCTTCTTCCCGGACCACACGGACAGGGCCACACCTCTGTTCTGACCTGCAATGGCATTGTCCATGTCAATCCCCCTGTTCGCCAGCCATTCCGCTCTGAGTAATCTTTAGCTATTTCAAGAATCAAATTTACTTGCAAAAGAGAGACTTTCTGCCACTGATGCTATGCAAAAGCACACTATGGGTCTCTCTAGCGGGGCAGGCTACGTGATCAGAGAAGCTCCAAGAGCTTGGAAATCCAGCTTACCTCTGTTGTGTCGCCTTCTCGGAAAAACTGGAGTAAAACCCAAATTTCAGGCCCCATATGGAGGCAGAGGGGCAGGTCTTTCTGCCCACCACGCTGATAAGACAGTCAAAAGACAAAAGACAAAAACATTGGTTTCCTTTTTTATCACCGTAAGTAAAATAGCTATAGCTCTTCTAACCTTCCTTTAACCTGAGTTGCCTCCCATTTAGAAATAAAAGCAAGTGTTGCCTCAACTGTGTACCTTTCCCTACTGCTCTCCCTTTCTCCAAATTTCCTTTGCTGTGAAATCCAGAGGACAATCCCCTTCCCTACATGGACCCTAGAGGATGGCTGGAAAGCTGTCCCGGCGGGGCACTCGGGGTGTTCCGTGCCACAACACTGACTTGGAGCTGGGTGAGGTTTCTAGGGAGACGTCTCTCCGCGATGAGCCGTGTGGCCTGGGTGGGCCGGGGAGGGAGGAGGATCCAGAAATAGCTGCCTCTGACTGCACAACCGCATTGCTCAGCACCCAGAAGCTGAATCAGTTTTTGTAATTCCCAAAGGATCTGAGAAAGCAGCGGGGAGGAAGCGGGGGGTAGGAAGGTCACCGGTGATGATCACGACACTGCATTCCAGCCTGGGGACAGAGCGAGCCCCCATCTCTGAAAAAAATAAAATCAAATAAAGGCAAGACTTGCCTCTCCCTGCAGTGGTGGAGATTGGAAAAGATCTTTTATCCTTCCTTGATAAGTCCACAACAGCAAAACAAAATCGAGACACTAATAGTTTTTATTTTCCTTAATAATTTTTAATAATTGTTACACCAGGATTTATTGAGCACTTCCCATGGGCATGGGAGGCCAAGGGGAGGGTGGCAGTCACAGTGGCTTTGGTCATTGTCGGTCTGGATGGCTGGGTTGGGCTGGGCTGCAGTGAGCTGGAGAATAAGTGAAAATAAGGAAATGGACACTGAAGGAAACTATTCTATCGAAAATATGTTATTTTTCCCATAAGCTGGTTACATAGACCTGGCGTTGTTGATACCAGTCACCCTCAAAAGGGAAGGCCTATTATTGTCAGTGTGTCATAGCAGGTAGATTTGGTGACCCGGATGAGGATGCATTATAGGTAGTTTCCAGTTCTTTCTCCCCAGACACTATAGGCTGTCTGGGCAGATGGTTTGGAAAGTTTCCATCCCACCCGTTGGGTCTCTTCGAGCCCACCTGCGTCCACATCAGATGATCAAACTTCCCACTGGAGAATCTGTGTGGATTTGAAGCCAAATGTGCATAACCGAGCAAATGACAGGACGGCACTAACTGCTCGAGGGCTGGGATGGAACCTTGATGCCTCCTGCAAATCCGGTTCCCCAAATCCTGAAGAGCTGTCACCCTTTTCTTCCCTTTGTCTGTCCATCTGTCCACCTGCCTGCCCAGTTGTGCTGTACTCCGTTCAGATCTTCACGGGGAATGTTCCAGGGGCGGGGACAGACGCCAAGGTGTACATCACCATCTACGGCGACCTGGGGGACACCGGAGAGCGCTACCTCGGCAAGTCGGAGAACCGCACCAACAAGTTCGAGAGAGGAACGGTATGCGGGACACTCAGAGTTTACCCTCTTTTCCTCCCCAGGTCCAGGGATCTGGGCGCCAGCTCTTCGTGGTCCCCAGGGACGTCCAAGACCTCTGTGGAATGTTGGGTGCCCTCACTTGGGCTTTTGCCTTTGTCCTTCCCTGCGAGCACACTTGTCCCTGGCTCCCAGCCGATGCAGCCCTGGGTCCTGCCTGGGTGGGGTTGGGTGTGGTGGAGCAGGCCATGGTGAGCAGGAAGCCTGCTTGAGCTGCAGGCTGGGCCGCAGGGGACTGGGCCATCTTCAGAAAACCCAGTTCCTGGTGGGGTCCACAAATGTGGGGGTGAGCGCCGCAGCGTGGGGAGGGCTATGCCCACGGAGGCTCGAACCTGCTTCTGCATCAGCTCCTCACCTGATTCCACTTCTCTGGCCTCAGCTTCCTCGTCTGTACAGCGAGGGGTCAGATATGGACTGGCTGAATTGTGTCGTGCAGAGTCCTGGGTGGCACGATGGCCCTTGGGACCCGTGGGGGTGGTGGGACGGGGTTAGACGGGCACCCACTCCCGTCTAGGTGGCTCCACTCCGACCCAGCCTATGGACCGGGGTGCCGAGCAGGCCCTCTGCTAAGCAAAGGGTTTTGTGGCTATAAAAGGGCTTGGAAAGTGACCGAATGGTGTCTAAGGCCCTTCCAGCTCTGATAGACTATGATTTTATGAAAAGGAAGAAGTCTGTCCAGAGGGGCCACTAGGGTGGGCTTTGTCAAACTCCCTTCCTGCCAGCCCTGCTTCCCTCTCCCTGCCCTCTCTGCATTCTCACTTCTCCTCTCCAATCACCTGACTGCCAGACATGTCCACAGGCCAGACCATGGCCACAGGGAGGTCAGATAAAGGGGACTGGCTCCCAGCCCAATCTGTGGCCTTGCCCACGGCGGTGTGTGGGGGGAGTTCGCGCATCCACCAATGGGTACTTATCAAGGGCCTGGCCCTCAGCCAGGGACGACACTTAGCATGTAACCACTTGCTATTGGTGGGGAGGATATCAGGCCTGGGACAAGAAAAGAGGGTGTCATCTAAGTGGGTCTGCAGCCGGTTGGTGGCCGTGTGTGTTAGTCAGGGAGCGTGGAAGGAGGCCCAGCCGGGCTGCCAGGTCCCAGGGAGCCAGGCCCCAGCACTCCCACTCATCTGCTTCATCATCCAGACACAAACTGTTCACCTTCAACTTGAGTTTACCACTTCCGGAGCAGGAATAATAGTAATGCAATTGCCAATTAGACCTGTGGGCTGAAAAACAGGACACGATGTTAGAGCACTTTGTGTCAGGGAGAATTAATTACACACACACACACACACACACACACACACACACACACGAGATATAATTGCTCACTGCCCTTATAAGGTAGCCAGAAGGAGGCCTAGCCTCCTGTTTTTATTTTGGAATAATGGAATGCTAAAGAGGTCGAGTGATTCATGTGATGTCCCTGACGCTATACTGGGGACATTATCAGGGGCCCAGATGCTGGGGCTGAGTTCAGATCCTGGCTCTGACACTTCCTAGCTGTGTGTGATCTTGGGCAAGTTACTCAACATCTCTGTGCCTCAGCATCCTCCACTTGAAAAAGAGTTAATTTTGTAGTTATTGTGAAAGTCAACTACGTTAATATACGTGAAGTGCCTAGAACGGTGCCTGGCACATGGGTAGCTCTTCGTCTGTGCTGGGTGTTGTCGAGCCTTGGGAGAGCTCACCTGTGCCCTGTCTTCATCGATGCCTGTTGATAGGTGTTGATACCTGGCGAATGCATTGTGAAAACAGCAATGTGCCGCACACAGTGGATAGGTCAACTTTTGTGCTTGGCTGTATGTAGAGGCAGTCGGCATAGAATAGGCAGTCGATAACCATTTACTGAGTGAATAAATGAATGCCGGTGTCAGTGAAGGTGATGGAATCCAGCCTCCTTTGTGTTCAGGTTTTTCTTTTCTCCTTAGCTCTCTTTTCTCTCTCTGTTACATCTCAAGAAAAAAATCTCTGCCTGGTTCTGCCCCATCTGTGTCTCCTCCTTTTCTACAGTTTCGATGCACCATCAAGGGAGCTGGAACCTCTCCTGGCTCAGTTACTAATTATGTGACCTTAAGTTCACTGCTGAGCATCTAGAAACTTCCATTTCTCTGATCTTTTGCTCTGGAATCCAGGAATCATCCTGGACACCTCTCTCCCTGTCAGGATCCCCTTTCTGACCCATGTCTGACCAGGCCTCAGAGACCCTCCTTCTAAATATCCTCATCTCACCTCACTCGCTGAGCCAGCCTGGTCTCCCGGCCCCAGGCCCATCCTCAGCTTCCTCAGTGAACCTACCCAAAGCCAATGAGTCACCCCCTCACGTCAACCTTTTGGGGCTCCCCACCGATCCCAGATCTGACTTGAATCCTTCCTGGGATTTGCAGACCTTCATGGCCTGACCCACTGGCCTGCCTGGAATGTCCCCTACAGACCACTGGACCCAGTATCCAGAATGCCCCACATGCTATCCTGTCTTGGCATCTTGCCAGCCATTTTCTCTGCCTGCATGTACATGTGCCTATAGAAAATAGGCAAGCTGTTTTGTGCTTTTAATTTTTTACATAAAAGGCATCATGCTATATAAACACTTCTTCAACCTGGCTTTTGCATTCATGGATGCCCTGGAAATCCCTCTGTCAGGATATTCATGCAGAGATGGTGTGAATGCAGAACTGGCGATTCTCTGTACTCCCTACACACGTCACATTCCACAGGAAAGGCTTTGCCAGAGTTATTTAACTGTTCCCCAAGTGGTGAACCCCAGGTGGCTTCTAATTTTCCACTGTAAAAATTATCCTGCAAGGAACACATTGCACATTACATGTTACATACATTGCACATATGTGCACACTTGTGCACATAGGAAGGTCTTCCCCCAGGACAGATGCAAAGCAGTGGAACTGCAGTGTCTCTGGGTGGGCACTTTCTACTCTAATGGACTCAGTGGATTGCCAACGCCCCAGGACTGCAGGATCCACACCTGCTGTCGGCCACACACCACCACAGCTGCTGTTCACCTGCAGTTGCCTCAGCTATGGGCTGTCCCTGCCCTGGGCTGCCTGGAAAGCCCAGCCCCCCATGTGCAGTGTAGTAATGCCACCTGGAGACACCTTCCCAGGCCTGGCTCTAGTCCTGGCACAAGTGGTTTTTCCCACCACCCGGGCTGTGATTACCCATCCGCTCCACTCCCTGCACTGGACTGTGAGGTCCCCGGGGCAGAGAGCGTCGTTATATTCATCTCTGCATTCCCAGGGCTCAGCACAGTGCCCACACTCAGCCAGTCTTTCAGAAGGAAAATGGGTGTCACTCAGGGTCACCTGTCCCCCTCCCTGAGCCCCAGCCTTGGGCTCCTGCCTCCCACATTCAACCTCTGTCTTGGCTCCACCTCACTCAAGGCCTAGAATTCACACCTCGCTTCGCTCTCCTTGAGGAATCAAGCACACAGAGTAGAGGGTCCGCTTGACTGAGGACAGAGTCAGGGACACAGAGGAGGGAGGGTCTTATATCACAGCCCACAGCCGCTTGTTCCCTGTGCCCCTCCCACCTCCTCCCCTGCACCTGCTCTGCTGGCTCCTCCGACTCCCTCCTGGCTTCTCCCCGGCAATTCGAAGCCCCCTCCTGTTATGCAGAATGTCACTTCTAGAAGCGCCTTTAGCTGCCACACATGAGCTCATCCCAATACTGAACATAGCTAAGGGCGTCCGACAAGCAAGACTGTCACCTGTCCTCCTCTGCCACTGGCCGTGGCCTTTGGGTCCCACCCCCTCACACAGCTGTCAGGGTCCATTCCCAAATACCCACGGCTTCTCCCAAGAGAAGGAGTTTGGTGAAGGCAGTTCTCCCCACGGAGCCACACATGGGTGAACTGTGCGAGGGGCCGTCGTGGAGGTGAGGCTTGGACTCCATGGCCAGAGTGAGGGATGGGCGCAGAGGGTCCCAGCTAGGAAGGCCTGCTCAGCTCAGCAGTTGAGGGGGATGGAAGGTCCTGGAAGGGTGGGGCTGGAGCAGGTCAATGGGGAGTGTGGCCCCCACCCGAGTTCCCCCATCTGGACTCCCCAGGCCGACACCTTCATCATCGAGGCCGCTGACCTGGGTGTCATCTACAAGATCAAGCTCCGCCATGACAACACCAAGTGGTGTGCGGACTGGTACGTGGAGAAGGTGGAGATCTGGAATGACACCAACGAGGATGAGTTCCTGTTCCTGTGCGGGCGCTGGCTGTCCCTCAAGAAGGAAGACGGGCGGCTCGAGAGGCTCTTCTACGAGAAGGTGCGGTGAGGGGCTGTCAGGCTCAGCCACGGCCTGTCACCTCCCTTATACCTGGAGGAGGCTCGGCCACGGCCTGTCACTGTCCTTATATCTGGGGGAGGTCCCAAGGGGCAGAGGTGCTGGAGCTATCACAGGCGGGTCATGCCCCTCTGGACAGGAGTACACCGGGGACCGCAGCAGCAACTGCAGCAGCCCCGCTGACTTCTGGGAGATCGCCCTGAGCTCCAAGATGGCTGACATCGACATTGACACAGTGACGGGGCCCATGGCCGCCTACGTCCAGGAGGGCCCAGGTAAGCCGAGTAGGGAGCCCTTCCGAGGAGGAGCAGGCACTTGGAAATGTTTGACAGCTATTCTTGGACAGGCCAACTTTTAGCCCCACCATCAACGATGCTTTACAGCTAATGCTTTGCCATGTACACAGTTTTCACACGTATTGCCTGCTTCGTCTCCACAAACCCTCCAGGTGAGAGGGCAGGGATAAGCCCTCTTTACAGATCGGGAAACAAAGGCTAAAGAGCACAGGATGATGATGTCCTCACTCCACTGACCCACCACCAGGCAGTTACATCATAAACTCCGCCCTCACACACCCACACACACCCTCAGGATAGTGACTCAGCCCAGAGGGCGTAGGACCACCAGACAGAAATTGATAGCCACAGCAATGTCCCTGCATGTCAGTAGTGCACCACACATGGCACTCGGCCACGCAAACTCACGGCATGATACGGTGCATGGTAGGGAGAGGGGAAGAAGCCCTGAGCTGGGTGTTTGGGGACTGAAGTTCCATTTCTGGTTCTGACGATAAAACATGGGGCCTTGGACAAGTCAGTCTCTTGGCTTCAGTTTTATCCTCCTCCATAAAAAAAAAAAAATCATAATCGCCCAGCAAGTTCATTTTGTATTTTTTATTTTTATTTTTTTTTTTATGGAACATCACAGAACTGAACAGCAAGTTCATTTTGCCAACTGGATTTTTGAGATAAGGCAGTTCTAGATTTGTCTATTGAATGTTTAAATGCACCACCTTCCTATTCGGTTCTCTTAAACATGAGAGTGTGACCACCACGCTATCCCCCTCCAGGTGGATCTGTGGAATCAGGCAGAGAGAGCCATTCTGCTCACACTTGACCTTCTCACTCTGTGAATAAGTGATAGGACCCACCAGAAAGTGCCTCTCCTTAAGCCCCAGGGACACTTGTAGAAAGAGTCTCCTTGTAAAGGTAAAACAAGACCATATGCAGGAGCAGAAAACCATGCAGGTCACTCCAGCCAGGAAGGGCTGGTTTAAAAATTTTCAAAGGGATGAAGATTATATAACCTAAAACCCACTACACCAGGGCAGTGTCCCCCAGGCTGTGAAGGAAGATGAGCCAGGAAAAGGGTTTCCAACTTGTATCAATCGTTAACTGCAAGTGACAAAGACCTAGAGATAATGACTTAATAGAAATTTTTCTTTTTTCTCGCATGAAAGTTCAAAGGTAGGCCCATCTTGGACCAATACAGCAGCTCCACTGAAGTCAAGGACCTAGGCTCTTTCAACCTAGTCACTCTGGCAACCTTATAAGTAGCTTATAGCTTAAAGGTTGCCCATGGTTCCAAGATACATGCTGGAGCTCCAGCCATCACATCCATATCCCAAGCAGAATGAGTGGAAGGGTTAGGGGCAAAAGGGTACTCCTCCAAGCTGAGTCAGACCCTTTAAAAAAGATTTCCCCAGAAACTCACCCAACAGTATCTGCTTACATATCATAACCACCCGTAGCTGCAAGGAGAGTGGATACTGGGTGGGCAACTAGATCTCTATGGACACTATGTGAACGAGTTTTAACGCTGATTCATCTAGTTTGTTTTGAAATGGATGCCTTCTAGGAGTTTGATTTATGTTCTATATATATTAATAAGACACTTTTATTGTTCTCCAAACTCCTACTTTCTGTAGGACTTTGCTTTTGCCAACCTAGTTTTTGCTGACCGGGGTAAGGTTTTCAGGTGTATAACCACTGTACTTCGTGGAACACATTGCACATTACATGTTACATACATTGCACATATGTGCACACTTGTGCACATAGGAAGGTCTTCCCCCAGGACAGATGCAAAGCAGTGAAACTGCAGTATCTCTGGGTGGGCACTTCCTACTCTAATGGACTCAGTGGATTGCCAACGCCCCAGGACTGCAGGATCCACACCTGCTGTCGGCCACACACCACCACAGCTGCTGTTCACCTGCAGTTGCCTCAGCTATGGGCTGTCCCTGCCCTGGGCTGCCTGGAAAGCCCAGTCCCCCATGTGCAGTGTAGTAATGCCACCTGGAGACACCTTCCCAGGCCTGGCTCTAGTCCTGGCACAAGTGGTTTTTCCCACCACCCGGGCTGTGATTACCCATCCGCTCCACTCCCTGCACTGGACTGCGAGGTCCCTGGGGCAGAGAGCGTCCTGTTACATTCATCTCTGCATTCCCAGGGCTCAGCACAGTGCCCACACTCAGCCAGTCTTTCAGAAGGAAAATGGGTGTCACTCAGGGTCACCTGTCCCCCTCCCTGAGCCCCAGCCTTGGGCTCCTGCCTCCCACATTCAACCTCTGTCTTGGCTCCACCTCACCCAAGGCCTAGAATTCACACCTCGCTGCGCTCTCCTTGAGGAATCAAGCACACAGAGTAGAGGGTCTGCTTGACTGAGGACAGAGTCAGGGACACAGAGGAGGGAGGGTCTTATATCACAGCCCACAGCCGCTTGTTCCCTGCGCCCCTCCCACCTCCTCCCCTGCACCTGCTCTGCTGGCTCCTCCGACTCCCTCCTGGCTTCTCCCCGGGAATTCCAAGCCCCCTCCTATTATCCAGAATGTCACTTCTAGAAGCGCCTTTAGCTGCCACACATGAGCTCATCCCAATACTCAACATAGCTAAGGGCGTCTGACAAGCAAGACTGTCACCTGTCCTCCTCTGCCACTGGCCTTTGGGTCCCACCCCCTCACACAGCTGTCAGGGTCCATTCCCAAATACCCACGGCTTCTCCCAAGAGAAGGGGAGTTTGGTGAAGGCAGTTCTCCCCACGGAGCCACACATGGGTGAACTGTGCGAGGGGCCGTCGTGGAAGTGAGGCTTGGACCCCATGGCCAGTGTGAGGGATGGGCGCAGAGGGTCCCAGCAAGGAAGGCCTGCTCAGCCCAGCAGTTGAGGGGGATGGAAGGTCCTGGAAGGGTGGGGCTGGAGCTGGTCAATGGGGAGTGTGGCCCCCACCCGAGTTCCCCCATCTGGACTCCCCAGGCCGACACCTTCATCATCGAGGCCGCTGACCTGGGTGTCATCTACAAGATCAAGCTCCGCCATGACAACACCAAGTGGTGTGCGGACTGGTACGTGGAGAAGGTGGAGATCTGGAACGACACCAACGAGGATGAGTTCCTGTTCCTGTGCGGGCGCTGGCTGTCCCTCAAGAAGGAAGACGGGCGGCTCGAGAGGCTCTTCTACGAGAAGGTGCAGTGAGGGGCTGTCAGGCTCAGCCACGGCCTGTCACCTCCCTTATACCTGGAGGAGGCTCGGCCACGGCCTGTCACTGTCCTTATATCTGGGGGAGGCCCCATGGGGCAGAGGTGCTGGAGCTATCACAAGCGGGTCATGCCCCTCTGGACAGGAGTACACCGGGGACCGCAGCAGCAACTGCAGCAGCCCCGCTGACTTCTGGGAGATCGCCCTGAGCTCCAAGATGGCTGACATCGACATTGACACAGTGACGGGGCCCATGGCCGCCTACGTCCAGGAGGGCCCAGGTAAGCCGAGTAGGGAGCCCTTCCGAGGAGGAGCAGGCACTTGGAAATGTTTGACAGCTATTCTTGGACAGGCCAACTTTTAGCCCCACCATCAACGATGCTTTACAGCTAATGCTTTGCCATGTACACAGTTTTCACACGTATTGCCTGCTTCGTCTCCACAAACCCTCCAGGTGAGAGGGCAGGGATAAGCCCTCTTTACAGATCGGGAAACAAAGGCTAAAGAGCACAGGATGATGATGTCCTCACTCCACTGACCCACCACCAGGCAGTTACATCATAAACTCCGCCCTCACACACCCACACACACCCTCAGGATAGTGACTCAGCCCAGAGGGCGTAGGACCACCAGACAGAAATTGATAGCCACAGCAATGTCCCTGCATGTCAGTAGTGCACCACACATGGCACTCGGCCACGCAAACTCACGGCATGATACGGTGCATGGTAGGGAGAGGGGAAGAAGCCCTGAGCTGGGTGTTTGGGGACTGAAGTTCCATTTCTGGTTCTGACGATAAAACATGGGGCCTTGGACAAGTCAGTCTCTTGGCTTCAGTTTTATCCTCCTCCATAAAAAAAAAAAAATCATAATCGCCCAGCAAGTTCATTTTGTATTTTTTATTTTTATTTTTTTTTTTATGGAACATCACAGAACTGAACAGCAAGTTCATTTTGCCAACTGGATTTTTGAGATAAGGCAGTTCTAGATTTGTCTATTGAATGTTTAAATGCACCACCTTCCTATTCGGTTCTCTTAAACATGAGAGTGTGACCACCACGCTATCCCCCTCCAGGTGGATCTGTGGAATCAGGCAGAGAGAGCCATTCTGCTCACACTTGACCTTCTCACTCTGTGAATAAGTGATAGGACCCACCAGAAAGTGCCTCTCCTTAAGCCCCAGGGACACTTGTAGAAAGAGTCTCCTTGTAAAGGTAAAACAAGACCATATGCAGGAGCAGAAAACCATGCAGGTCACTCCAGCCAGGAAGGGCTGGTTTAAAAATTTTCAAAGGGATGAAGATTATATAACCTAAAACCCACTACACCAGGGCAGTGTCCCCCAGGCTGTGAAGGAAGATGAGCCAGGAAAAGGGTTTCCAACTTGTATCAATCGTTAACTGCAAGTGACAAAGACCTAGAGATAATGACTTAATAGAAATTTTTCTTTTTTCTCGCATGAAAGTTCAAAGGTAGGCCCATCTTGGACCAATACAGCAGCTCCACTGAAGTCAAGGACCTAGGCTCTTTCAACCTAGTCACTCTGGCAACCTTATAAGTAGCTTATAGCTTAAAGGTTGCCCATGGTTCCAAGATACATGCTGGAGCTCCAGCCATCACATCCATATCCCAAGCAGAATGAGTGGAAGGGTTAGGGGCAAAAGGGTACTCCTCCAAGCTGAGTCAGACCCTTTAAAAAAGATTTCCCCAGAAACTCACCCAACAGTATCTGCTTACATATCATAACCACCCGTAGCTGCAAGGAGAGTGGATACTGGGTGGGCAACTAGATCTCTATGGACACTATGTGAACGAGTTTTAACGCTGATTCATCTAGTTTGTTTTGAAATGGATGCCTTCTAGGAGTTTGATTTATGTTCTATATATATTAATAAGACACTTTTATTGTTCTCCAAACTCCTACTTTCTGTAGGACTTTGCTTTTGCCAACCTAGTTTTTGCTGACCGGGGTAAGGTTTTCAGGTGTATAACCACTGTACTTCGTGGCAGGTTATTGTTTTCACCTTCTTCATGTGGCCACGCTAGCTTCAAGTAAGATCACTGAGCAAACGGCATTCAGAAGCGTGACACTCCAAACGAGTACAAGAACGCGCTCTCTGATCTTTGTGTTGGGAGTCACCAACGCCCTTATTCCTTGGAGAGTAGACCCGCCCCACAGATGGCTCACCAGTCTGAACCGCTCATTGCATCATCTCTGAGCAGGGAGCAGAGATCCACTGAGATCGGCGTCCTCTGGGGGTTATTTCCAAGTCTCCGAGCCCGCTAAGCGGTGCCCTCGTCCACCTGGCCCGTTGTGAGCTGGCCCATAATCTCTTGCAGTTATTCCCTACTATGTGTCTGTCACTACCGGGAAGCACAAGGATGCGGCCACTGACAGCCGAGCCTTCATCGTACTCATTGGGGAGGATGACGAGCGTAGCAACCGCATCTGGCTGGACTACCCCGGGGGGAAGAAGGGCTTCGACCATGGCTCCGTAGAGGAGTTCTACGTGGCCGGCTTGGATGTGGGCATCATCAAGAAGATCGAGGTGCTGGGCCTTGGGACCCCCAGGGAAGGAAGGAGCTGACCAGGACGTGGGTGGCAGGGAAAGCAGAGGGCGGGCAGAACAACCCACCTGGAGCCCCCTCAGAGCAGGTAGCAGAGGAGGGTGTCCACCGTTAGCAAGCTGGCTGACCCTGGGTGAGCCACCCGCCCCGCTGGGTCTCCTCTTGCACACGCTCGGTGGGGATGCCCTACGTATAAGCTTTCTATTGCTGTGTGACAAATTGCCACAAACCATGTATGATCTCACAGTGTCATGGGGTAGGAGTCAAGGTGTGAGTGAGCTGCTGTACTTTTCAGTCTCATGGGGCTGAAATCAAGGTGCTTATCTGAGGCTTGGGGTCCTCTTTCTGGCAGAATCGCTTCTCTTGGGGTTGTAGGACTGAGGCCTTCAGTTCCCAGAGCTCACCCACCACTCCCTGCCACATGGCCATCTCCAAAACCCGGCCATTTGCTTGTTCAGGGCCACTGGGAGACAATTGTTTCTGCTTCGAATCTCTCTGACTTCTCCATCTCTGATGTCTAAATCCTTTTAAAGGACTCACCTGATTAGGTCAGACCCACCCAGATTGTCTTTTGATAAATCAGTCAAGAGGGCTTGATGAGATCTGCAAAACCCCTTCACTTTCACGGGAGGGACTCTGCCAGCGGGTGCACTGGGAGGCACTGAGGGAGGGGCTGAGCAGGGAGGGCTTCCTTCCGGGCTGTGTCCAGGTCCTCACAGGTCTGATGTGTCCCCTCCCAGCTGGGCCATGATGGGGCCTCCCCCGAGAGCTGCTGGCTGGTAGAGGAGCTGTGCTTGGCGGTGCCCACCCAGGGGACCAAGTATACATTGCGCTGCAACTGCTGGCTCGCCAAGGACCGAGGCGACGGCATCACCTCCCGTGTCTTTGACCTTCTGGATGCCATGGTGGTGAACATTGGGGTGAAGGTAGGGGACACTGTGAGTGTGCATTGCAAGGCCGCACAGTGCAGGCTGGGGTAGGGGCAGCAGCGAGACGGAAGTGGGGGAAGAGGGGGAAGCAGGAAGTGAGCATCGTCAGTGGCTGCAGCCTGGTGTGCTGGCTAGATATGCTGTGCCAGGGGTCAGAGACTGAACTCTCTCCTGGCCTGCTGCTGTGTGACCTTGGACAAGTCACCTGGCTTCTCTGGGCCTTGGTCTGCTCATACACTGCATATGGAAATAATGCTTCCCAGCTACTCATGGCTTGTTCTTGATGAGACCTCTTGGGATCGCAGTTCATAAAGAGCTTTGCAAGGTGACAGCTCTACATAGACATGCAGGCTCGTGATTCTACAGAGGATGCCCCATCAATGGCAGGAGGATGGTGACGGGGAAAGAGGGCATATGGGTCTCACAGCGCAGCCAGTGCTGTCCACACAAGACCCTCCTGGACTGCAAAAGCCTGGAAGACAGGAGTTCTGAGCTCCTGTCCTGGCTCCACCTCCAACTGGCCACATGACCTGGGACAAGTTGTAGAAACTCACAAGTCAGTCTGGGCAAGAGGCAGGATGCCTGGTGCTGCGGCCCAAGGACACACAGGTAGTTGGTGGCCCAGAGGCCTCAAGTTCACCTGACCCTGTTGGGTCTTTCTCTCTCACGGCCGTGGAATCAACAGAAGGCCCCTACGCTTATCTCTGTTCCTGAATCCAAACCAGAGGGCCACTCGGCTTAGATCAGAAGCTGTCCCACAAAGGTGAGAAGGAACCACCTGGAGAGACCTGGGTGTGCCTGCCTATATCATACAAGGAAACAAAAGGAGGGGCTGGGCTCCGGGCTCTAAAAGCCTTGACAGGTGGAGTGGGGGGGCCTGCCGGGGAGTCTGAGAGCAGCACTGTACACAGCAGACACCCTCTCCCGCCCCAGACATCTCCATCTGCGGCCAGACGGATGATGCCGGTAAATGCACAAATCATCCAGGGGCCTCCGCCTGACCCAGTTCCCAGCCCGTGTGTGCGTGTGTGTGCCACCCCCCAGCACACACATGCACCCCATGCAGTGCCGCCGCATCTCCCTCCGAGCCCTTTAGTCCAGGAAAGTCCAGGTCCACACCCCTGTTATTCACGGTACAAAAGAACACAGGTTTGTCACTTTACAAAGAGCTGCAGGGTTCTTTGCATCGGCCATCTCTCCAGGACACCTGATATCAGACCAGAATTACAAGAACGCTGTTTCTGTCTCTTTTTGGAAGCACACCTATTACATAAAAAGGGATGTGTCTGTGTAAAGGAGAGAGAGGGATGCAGAGAACACAGGAGTTGGATGGACCAGTGCTTGGGGGCCGGTCTCCATGAGGCCGCCGAAGCTTTCATTTTGATCATTCTATTTTTTATGCCTGTCTGGATGAGAGCAAAAAAATGTCAGGCTCCGACTTTCGTTCAGCTCTTCCTGCCCATCACGAATGCCCTTGTTGGGTGGTCTAAGGGGGTTTTCCTGGTAAAGCAAGAGGCTCTCCACCCATTCCCTCATCAAACCCTGAACTTCTCCCCTGGGCTAGGCCAGCACATAATACTTCCAACCTTGCGGTGTCACGGCAAGGATTCTAGAAGCTGCTGGAAGAGCATGCAGCACCCGCCAGGCACCATGGCAGGGAGCACGACCCCTGCGATTAATAACTTGGGTTCTGAGTTCCGAGGTAGTAGGGACCAGGCCCAGCACGAGTGCGAAGGGAATGTGGCAGCCACGGGGAAGGGAAGCACCAGGCATGTTCAGAGGAGACAGCCAGCCTGGCCTTCCTTCCGCCGTGTGTACCAGCCTCTCCCGAACCTTTAGATCTTGTCACCAGCCCACAGCCCCTGGCGAGAGAGGGAATGCAATGAGAATGCAGGAGCAGAGAACATTCTAGAATATGAGGGTAGGCGATGCCTCTTGCAGGCAGGGCCTCAGTGGGGACACCCCCTGGGGAGGAGCAGGCTGCCCCCTCACCCTCCAGTGGAGACAAAGGCCACACATCCTCTTCGTAGCAAACCTCAGGCGAAACGGCAAAGTCCCAGTCTAAAATGAAAATCACATAAATAGGGGCTTGTCCCGCTTCACAAGTGGCTGAGGCCGATTCCCTTTAATGTCTCCCCAGGGGTACTCCTCACTCACAGACCTCACGGCGTGTGCGGGCTGTGGCACTAGGGGACAGACACCCAGACCTGTGGCTGCTGCTGGGGGCCGTACGCGTGGCCGTGGCAGGCCGGGCGCCAGGCACCCATGCGACTGTCTGCAGTGTCACGATGGGCAGCGCAGTTCATCCCTATTTCACTGCAGGGGAGCGGAGGGCAGCCGGGGTGGCTGTCTGCCTGGGGTTATCAGCCAGCAAGCGGCGGATCTGGGATTCACACGGAGCTCTGGATGGCTCCAGAAGCCACTGTCCCGCCACCATGCACTGCAAGCATGGCCGGACTCAGGCTGGGACTCGACCGGCAAAGAGTGAATCGGGGGATGCCGGGGCTGTGGGTCGTGTTTATACTGCACAGCACGCTCGCCATCAGAAACTGAACTCCTCTCCAGCCCCGGCTGGACACAGTGGGGGACATAAGAGAATGACAAGGCCCGACCTGCTGTCCAGACATTTACAGTTAAATGGGGGAGGGCTCTTTTCAGAGTCACAGGACTGGGCTCTGCTCTCCCTGGGGAGACTGAGGCAGGCCTCGTAGGGTCGGAGGGTGGTGCCAAAGACCCATGTCCCCCCCTCGGCAGGTGCTCTACGAAATGACCGTGTGGACAGGGGACGTGGTTGGCGGGGGCACTGACTCCAACATCTTCATGACCCTCTACGGCATCAACGGGAGCACAGAGGAGGTGCAGCTGGACAAAAAGAAAGCCAGGTACCTGGGGGCGGCCCCGCCCCTCACCCCTCCTCACATGCGACCTTCTGCCCTCTGCACCCCCTACCTGCAGCCACCCCTGCATCATGGGCCTCCCAGCCTCTGCACCTTTGTCCTTTCTGTCTCCTTTACCTTCTCTCTCAAGGGCCAACGCAAATCCACCTCCTCCAGAAAGCCTTCCTTGATCACCGCAGCCCCTAGCAAGTCCTTCCTTTCTTCTTTCTTTCATTCGGTCACTCGAAAATGTTTACTGTAAGGTCCGTAGATTAGTAGTTGATGGTATTGTACCATTGTTAATTTCCTGGTTTTGTCAATTGCACTACCGTAATGTGAGATATTGACATTAGGGGAAGCTGGAGGAAGGGCACACAGAAAGCTCTGTTCAATTTTCACAACTTTTCTGTAAGTCCAAAATGATTGCGAAATAAAAAGCCATCAATTTTCAAAACACTAAAAAAAGAGTGAACACCTAGTATATGCCAGGCACTGACTCAGGCACTGGGGAGATCATGCAACCTGGAAAACAAGGTACCCACAGAGCTTATCACCCAAGCAGAACAACAGCAGCAACACTAACATTTCTGTGGGCTTGCTTTGACCAACCGTTGTCGTAAGCCGTGTATTGATACCCAAGTCCTTTCCACAGCTCCATGAGGACTATTATTATTAATAGCATCCCCATTTTACAGATGAGAAAGATGAGATGCAGCAAGGCAGGGTCATGATGCTCGGGGTCCCATATCCAGTACACTGTGGCACTGTGGCCACCCAGTGGCCCCCAGACCTAAGCATTAGGTTCTACCACCTCCTACGATAGTGATTAGTGATGACAGTAAAGTAGCTCTCCTGGAATACTTACTGTCTGTACCTCCATTGCACCCCCAGTTTAGACAATGCTGGGTTTGGCTGGTTTTCCATGTTCAGCCATTGTCCCCCCAAACATCCTTGGCCCCTGACATCTTAAGAAACAGAGGGGGAGACTCAGAGCCTAACCTTAGGGTCTTTAAAACCCATGCATAGACTGGGCACAGTGGCTCACGCCTGTAATCCTAGCACTCTGGGAGGCTGAGGCGGAAGGCTCTCTTGAGCTCAGGAGTTCGAGTCCAGCCTGAGCAAGAGAGAGACCCCATCTCTACTAAGAGTAGAAAAATTAGCTGGGCATGGTGGCGCATGCCTGTAGTCCCAGCTACTCAGGAGGCTGAGGCAGGAGGATTGCTTGAACCCAGGAATTTGAGGTTGCTGTGAGCTAGGCTGATGCCACGGCACTCTACTCAGGGCAACAGAGACTCTCTCTCAAAAAAAATCAAAAGTAAAATAAAATACAACCCATCCAATAGACACTTGCTCTGAACCCCCAGCACACCTTCCCCCAGCAGGAGGGCAGGATCCAGGTGGCTTCCTCTCTGGGCCCCTCACAGCTCCTGGCTCTGGCCCTGTACATAGTGGGCACTCAGTGAGTACCTCTGATGCTGGTGGTGGTGAGGGTGGTTTGCAGCACGGTGAGGATGGAGATATGGGAGGTGACGATGGTAGGGGTGATGGGGATGATGGGGATGAAGGTGATGATGGGATGAGGATACTGAAGCTCTTGGAGACCAGGCAGGGGGTTCTTTTCATGGCCAGAGCAGCTCATGAGAGCCGGAGCTTTGCCCATCCTATGCAGCTCATCCTGGGGGTCTGATGAGCACAGTTTCTGCCCGCCTTCTCTTAGCACTTCTGCTCTCATTATGCACCTTCCATTTCCTCCTGGAATTCTTCCCAGATCAACTAGCCATGGTGATATAACAATAACGGCTAACACTGAACACTTACTCCATGCCGGGCACTGCAGTAAGTGCTTCTTAACATACATTAAGTCATACCGCCCAGTTAGTGTGCTCTCTTATCCTCCCCACTACACAAATAAAGTGCCAAAGACACAGAGAGGGGAAGTAACTTGCCCAAGATCACACAGCTAGAAAGTAGGGGAACTGGGATTTGAACTTAGGCAGTTGTGGAAATAAAGGAGGACTGAATGAGAACAGAGGCTATGGATTTAGAGCTTGCTCTAGCAAAGGAGTTAGGCACCATCCCCGGTGTGGCAGAGTCTCGAAGGCTGGCAGGAGAGTGGGACAGCTTCGTAGTGGAGTATTATTTTTGGAATGGTAAAGCGGGAGGTGAGTTAACTAGAATCGGGGCATCTCATGTGATTGGATGGGCAGCATATTTGCATTTCTTTGGTTGGACCTGAGTTGGGAGCAGGGACAAAACAGGGAAGCTGGCAGTCATTGCTTAAGTCCTGACTGTTCTAGGCCAATTGCTATAGAGGTTGTGGTTTCCTGGGCTGGTCGTGCAGAGATTGTGGGTCAGAGTTCTATTATGTACATGATCTGCTGTTGTCCACTATTTATTATTTATTCAGTCTCTCATAGTCTTCCTCTCTATACTCTGACTCTAATCTCCACCCAAATCCAAATTCCTGGATTTTCTCTGAGAACTTATCCCGCACCTACATTCCACCTTATTTTCCAGATACACAAGGCTTAATTGCTGGTGGGAGAGACAAACATCTCATTTCTAAGAGTATCTAAATTCCGAAAGTGTTGCTTGAAAATCGCGTCGTTATAAACACAACCATATTGCAAATGCTTCAAGGCACCTTGTTAGTTAAAGGATTGTTTTTCTGAGTAAAGATTTATTTTGTGCAGAGAGCCGTCATTTCTTAATTGCTCTGGTTTGCAAGCTCAGAGCTCTTACTCAAGGCATGTTTTGCTTTTCTCATTTGCATGTGGCTGCATGTTTGGCCTGTGTCCTGGAGCCTTTGTTATGGGTGCCTGCATCTCGACTAGGGGACTGGGATGGCAAGACCCGCTGGGCGTGTGTCGTGGGTGCAGTTTGGTATTGTGCAAGGTGATGCTTTCCCCAAGACACTGCGTGCCGAGATGAGGCTGAGACATGCACGCAGAAGGCACTGCGGGCTGAGACATGCACGCAGTAGGCACTGTGGGCTGAGACATGCACGCAGAAGGCACTGCGGGCTGAGACATGCACGCAGTAGGCACTGCGGGCTGAGACATGCACGCAGAAGGCACTGCGGGCTGAGACATGCGCGCAGAAGGCACTGCGGGCTGAGACATGCACGCAGTAGGCACTGCGGGCTTTCCCACTGCGATGCTCCAGCGTGCTGTCTTCAGATGCTGTTCCCAGAGACCAAGCCTCATACCGCCAAGAGCAATTCACTCCACCCCACTCCCCAGCTAGGGATCCCCCAACTTCTCAGGGAAAGTTGCCACTTCAGGGAAAAGTGTTCTGGTAAACTAGTTCACACTGAGATGCTATGAATTCATGTGGAATTAAAAAAAAATGATGTCCAAAAAGGCAATACTTGAACTCAAGGAATGAGTCTCTAACAGTGGAATTTGAGGCAATTGGTGTCTTTTGAGTGTAGGGGCTGTATTTAGACAATGGGACACGGTTTTCCCGTAGAGGGAAGTAAATGCCCACAGTGGGCGGTGGGTCCTTTGCAAAGGACAGCCTTTCACAGTGGGTAGGGAACAGAATGGAACCAGAGGAGGGAGGAAGAGAGGGGCCGCCAAAGGGGACCCTCCCCAGATGTCACCCCTCAGCTGCTGAGCAGAGGCCCCTTTGGGAAGAAGAGCAGTGCAAACCCTGGGCCACTTCCATTGCTCTGTCCCTCTGGGCTGGGGCTGGGACCTGGATCAAAGACTGGCACCGTACCAATGGTGGCCCTGCAGTTGTGGAGGTCTTATTGCCTGTCCCCTGAGGGGTCTGGAGGGGTCTGGGGCAGCAGGAAGGGTGTGGCTAGTGAGTCACGGAGGACTGAAGACCGGTGCAGACTTTTGCTTTGCATATGGACGTTCTACCCCAAGGAGAGGTTGTCCATCCGGGTAAACTAGAGATTGATCACACTGCAAGAGAGGGTGAGGGGCAAATGTAATCTACTTTTCAGTCTTCTAGAAGAAAAGCTTGTTTCTCCTCCCCCTTTCCTTATCCACCTGCCCCACCATAAAATCTCCATAAAATGAAGATACTTGGCTAAATTCAAAGGGTGAAAATTAAAGAGGCATCCGAAGGAAAGAATTCTAAAGCTCTTTTGATCTGCAAAACTGTGCTCCTGGCAAGAGTAAGGAATTGAAAGATGATTTGAGAGTGTGTCACATGAGAGTGACATGAGCACCTCCTCGCAGTTCCCACATGACCAGAGGGACAGACAGGGCTTCATTTAGAGCAGGAGGGGCGTGGAGCAGACTCTAGGAGAACTTTTTCACTGCTGATCATTATAAAATGCACGCGAGCAAGTTATCGAAAGGGATTAGGCCCTGCTCCACCTTTAAGACTAGGCGTGGTTTTCAGTTGGCAGCATTTGCAGCCTCAGCTTCCATTGGCTGTGGCCTCTATTTTTAAGTATGTCTGGCTTTCAAGGAAGCATAACAATTGCCATGCACAGCCATATCCCAGTGCCACCTGCAACACCCCGAGGGGCTTATCAGCAGTATCATCTGGAATCAGTCAGCAGTCAAGCAATCAGTCAGCATTGAAGGTCGCATTGTGCATGCGGCACTGTGGGAAGAGCAGTAAGGAATAAAGATAGAGCAGCTCTGAGATGATGAGGTCATTCCACAGAAAAATAATAATAGCAGCAAAAGCAGCATTACCTTCTATTTGCTTACCACTTTACAGTTCTCAGTAGCATTGCCCAATCCAGGCCACTGTGTTCGGTTTTGCAGATTGCAAATAAAAAATGTGAATAATGGCATCTAGAGTTGTATGGTACATGACCTGCCCCACCTTCATGGTGGCCCTGTCACTCATCAAATCTCACGTAAAGCTTTTTAGGTATAGAATTCTTATGTATTATAAGTTGATTTCACAACCATTTGGTCCTTGTGATAGTTCTGTGAGACTGCAGGGCCAGTGTCATTCTCCCCAGACTACAACTGAGAAAACCAAGTTCCATAGTGGAGTTGGGACTGTTTTAGGTAACTTAGCAGAATGAGATTAAAACCTAGAACTGGGCCAGGTGCAGTGGCTCACACCTGTAATCCTAGCACTCTGGGAGGCTTAGGAGGGAAGATTGCTTGAGGTCAGGAGTTCAAGACTAGCCTGAGCAAGAGTGAGATGCCGTCTCTACTAAAAATAGGAAAATTAGCTGGGTTCAGTGGCGTGCGCCTGTAGTCCCAGCTACTCCGGAGGCTGGAGCAGAATCACTTGAGCCCAGGACTCTGGTTGAAGTTGCTGTGAGCCAGGCTGATGCCATGGTACTCTAGCCCAGGTGACAGAGCGAGACTCTGTCTCAAAAAATAAAAGATAAATAATAATAATAATAATAGAACCTAAACTGGTAGCTGTTGGTTCAGGGCCATTTCTAGCAGCCAAACTCACTTAACCCAGCCTTTCAGGAGCATATGTGCCTGCAAGAGATGGGCTGTCGGGGAGTCGCTGGGTACAGTCCTCACCTTCTCTCCACACCCCAGATCTGGTGCCTGACCTGGCCCAGCTGTCCCCATGGCCAGCTTCCCTCTTCACGCCTCTCCTCTCCACCGCCAGGTTTGAGCGGGAGCAGAACGACACCTTCATCATGGAGATCCTGGACATTGCTCCATTCACCAAGATGCGGATCCGAATCGATGGCCTGGGCAGCCGGCCCGAGTGGTTTCTGGAGAGGGTAGACTGCCTGGGCCCCTCTTCCTCCCAGCCTGCACCCCCTTCTCCCTGCCCCACTGATTTGTCAGTGGACCTTGTTACAGTATAGATGTCACTATAGAAGGTCATTCTACAAAGCAGCCCATATAATCAATATGCCCTTTGGCATGAATTTTTATTTATTTGTGTCCAGAGAGAACTGAGTCAACTGTCAGAGAACTCAGTATGAGCTGGCAATGTGACAGGGACAGAGAACGAGTAAGGGGGGGCATGGGGTGGGCCTCCTCGAGGACCTGAGCTGGGAGGATTGAGAGGGGAGCAGCAGGAGCTGGGACAGAGGGAGCCTCAGGCAGGACAGGCAGGCTGGCAGGAGAGCTGTTGGTGCCCCTGTGGTCGCACAGTCAGGTGACTTCCTTCTTGTCCACCATGTGTCTCTGCCTTTTCTGTGGGTGGAGTCTGAGCCCAGCCTCAGCGCCCTGGCTGGGGGGCCTGGACCCTTGGGCTCCCAGCTGGGCTGAAACCAGCCTTGGGGCCGGGACGCTGGGCTCTTCAAGGAGCAAATGGCAGAAGGGGCTTTCTCAGCTCTGCCTGCACCCTGCCCCTGTCCTCAGCACATGTGTGCACGTGCACACACACAGCCACAGGCTCAGTTTCCACCAAGAGAAGAAGGCAGCAGCTCCTTCTCAGGACCTCTCTTCTGTGGTTTCCTCACTGTCCCCACCCTTGGGGCCTCATGCCTCCGGCCTGCTCACAGGAGCCATTAACACTCGCTGTTCTAGAGCGGACAGGCGCTTCCCAGAGCAGGTGCCAAATGGGACACATTTTGATGGGAACTCGTGTGATGTCGGGAGGCCCTTGCTAAGTGTGGTCCCAAAGCTGGAGGTCCCTGGCAATGGCTGTGATGACAAAGGTGACTGCCCTGCAAGCTGGCACATGGCTTCTGTATCACACAGGGCCCTGGGCACTCCAACACGTGTGGTGCTGGCGTTGTGCCGGCCCTCCATGTACGACGTGTACCAGAGTTCTCGGGCAGCCACAACAAAGCACCGCAGACTGGGGGCTTAGGACAACAGACATTTATTATCATCTTGCTGTTGTAGAGAGTAGAAGTCCAAGATCAAGGTGTTGGCAGGGCCACGCTCCCTCTCCCTAACTTCTGGTAGTCCCCTGACTTGTGGCAGCATCACGCCGGTCTCCCCATGACATTCGCCTGTGTGCGTGTCTGTGCGGTGTGAGGTATAAGAACACCGGTCATATTGGATTGCGGCATACTCTAATGACCTCATCTTAACTAAACATCTGCTACTACCCTATTTCTGAATAAGGTCACATTCTGAGGGACTGGGTTAGGACTCCAATATATAAATTTGAGTGGAGGGAGGAGGACAAAATTCAACCCATGACACAAAGCCTCTGCTCCCCTGCCCGAGTCAGTCCACACAACCCTCATCCCCCAAAGGCCACCTGTCCTGAGTCCCCTCAGGCTCCTCCTCCCCTGTTCCGTCATTAGCAGATTTTTCTTGAGCCAACAATAGGATGCCCACACCAAAGGCCATCTGGCAGACATCAGTCCCTGCTCCCAGGTGCCTGACAGTGGCTTGGTCCATTTTTCCTCCACTCGTTCAGGAAACATATCTCATGCACACTGATAGGCAGCTCCCAGGAAATGTTCTAGATGGGCTGTCCATTCCCAAATCTCCAAGCTAGGGCAAGGCACACAGGGCAGGCTCTTCGTCCTAGAAAGGGCCCTTTCCACACTCTTCGAGTCAAGGTCATGAGCACATGTCTGCAGTCTGCGCCCTTGGGTGGCTGGGGTTCAGCAGAGGGGGCTGCACTGGTGGTGGGGGCTGGTGGAGGTGAGGGGGGACATCCCCACAGTGCTCCCTCTCCCCCAGATCCTCCTGAAGAACATGAACACCGGAGACCTGACCATGTTCTACTACGGAGACTGGCTGTCCCAGCGGAAGGGCAAGAAGACGCTGGTGTGCGAGATGTGTGCTGTCATCGACGGGGAGGAGATGATGGAGTACACGTCCTACACTGTCTCGGTTAAGACCAGCGACATCCTGGGTGGGTCCCACTGCCCTTTCCCCCACCCTCAAATTCTGGCGCAAGTCCTGGTTTCTGGCCAGGGCATTTTCTTCAGATGGCCTTCCAAACGCTGGTCCTCCTAAGTCCCTTCCACAGCTTGCCACTTTCTATCTGGACAACGAACTTCCTCCCAGTAGCTGAACTGGCTCCTTCCACCCTCCATCAGGAAAGTGGGGAGAACACTGGCAGGGAGCATGGTCACATTTTTGAAAATGGGCTGGAAGCTCAACTCAGAGCCCTTCTGTCTTCCTGCTGCTGCCTGAAGCCCCTCACCCAAGTGCTGTGCGTGTCAGGCACCCTTGGGTCCCCTCTCACAGCTGTGTGCCTGGCCGTCTGCTGTGTGCCAGCTTTGGCCTTGGGCATTAGGGTAGACATATGACCCCCAGACCTTTGCAGATCTGACATTCTAGTTGGGCAACCCCAGAGCAGTGTGGTGAGGCTCTAACAGATGTCAGCCCAGGGTGCTGCTGGGAACCCAGAGGAGGGCACCTTGCTTACCTGGGAAGTAGGGGTGAGGGTCTTTCTTGTAGGGTTTCCCAGAGGCAATGCCAAAGTCAAGTCCAGAAAGATAAACAGAAGCCACTTAAGCAGAGGGACATGCAGAGGAAGGGCCTTCCAAGGAAAAGCACTAGCGCATTGAAGGCTGGGAGATGAAAGAGAACACCCTCTTACCTAGCCATGGGGCAGTGCCTCCCTCCTGGCCTCTCCTGTACCTAGCCTGCTCTCCAAGAGCCGTTGCAAGGAACCTGGCAAACTCATTCACATTGATTGTAAATGACTACTAAAGGATTGACTTGTTGGCCTTGGTAGCTTACATTTTTCAACAGAGAAGCATTTAGCCAAATAAATGAAGCTCTCATGGTAGGATCTCAGCCATAAGTCAGTAAAGCTGGTAAACGTTGTTTTTGGCACCTCCCTTCTTCCTATTCTCCTCACAGTGGAACCTTCACTCTTATTGCTTAACGTTCCAAGTGTCCACATGCTTTCAAACCCCTCCATCCTTTCTCGGTGTGCTCTCAGAACATAACTGGTAAGTTCATGGATAACAGCAGGTGTGTGTCGTAAAAGCTTCACAGGATGACCTTCTTCCAGAGCATTTGATTTTGACCTTGTTTAAGCAAATGATGTGAAGTCCTAGAGTAGAATGCCCATCAGAGGTAGATTTGGGGAGCACAGAATTTCCCTGCTTCCTTCGGAACCCACATTGTTCAGGAGGCAGCCTGTGTTTCTAAACTGTAAAGCCAGCCTACATGACATGCCTTTTAAATTTGGGTGTATTTCCCCAGAAATAGGGAAGTTTTCACACTAAACCATTCAAACTTGCTGACTACAACTCCAGTTAGATAAAAAGCTTTTTCAAGGCACAAAGATAAGGTAAAGGATAGAATTGGAGGCCTGGGAGTCCCAGGACACTAACTGGCCCTTTCCAAGTTCATCCCTGGCCTTGTCGACTCTGAACTCCGTCCACTTGCACCCCTGGCTCCTCCAAGGAGTCCAGGATCAAGGCCAGAGCACGAGGGCTGTGCGTCAGAGAAGCTGGTGCCCTGAGCTTCATCTTACCCACCCTCCAGGAGCAGGCACCGATGCCAACGTGTTCATCATCATCTTTGGGGAGAATGGGGACAGTGGGACACTGGCCCTGAAGCAGTCGGCCAACTGGAACAAGTTTGAGCGGAACAACACAGACACGTTCAACTTCTCCGACATGCTGAGCCTGGGCCACCTCTGCAAGCTGAGGGTCTGGCACGACAACAAAGGTAGGGCTGAGGTGATGGGAGGGAAGCCCTCAGGTCTCCCCCAAGCCCTTCCCTCCCTCCTCGGCAGCATGTCGATTCTGCCCACCCCAGGGTGGCAGGCAGCTTACATGGTTGATCACCACCATGGTGATGCATCCAGGAACACGAGAGAGCCATCGTTTCTGGGCAAATTTTAGAGAAAAAGCTTAGTTCCCCTTGCTTTCTCCCTGGGTGAGGTTCTTCATTGTTTGTGATGTTGCAGCATTAGTTCTACTTTTTTCAGGCATAAAAACTCAGAAAATAAAGGCTATATCGCCAAGTTCATTTCTCATGGATTTTTCTATAAAGGATTATACTTGTTTATTTATCAATATAATAGTAAGCCCCGAAGTAGTTGAATTCACTTTTAAATATAAACTATGAAATAAGAGGTAAACCAAGTGAGAAATTTATTTTTAACTTCAACATACCTAAGGAATACTTTGTTACATCTGTAATGTCTTCATCTGTGCTGAAGTTGATATTCTCAACATTTCTTTGGTTATCATTTTGCTGTCTTCAAGCCATTCTATTTTCTCTGGCTTTGGGCCTTTAAGTTCTATTTGTATTATAATTAGAAAAGAGTTGTTATATATTAAATTCCACCTCCTCAATGTGCACTGCTTTCTAAATTCACCTCTCTTGTCTTCCATTGAAATTCACCTCTGCAAAACTCTCTGCTCAAAGCCTTCTTCATCCTTTCCCTCATCCTCTCCAACAGTTGCCCAGAGCTGTCCTGAATGTTGTGTTTCTCCTCGCTCCTTTCAAACGCCTGCTGAGGACCAGCCTGTCTGTCGTGGCCGCTGATGAAATCCAGCTCGGTGGTTTGCCACCTCTCTTGTAAAAGGAGCTAACCTGGGTTAAATAGTTAGAATTTTTTCTGCAATGTGGAATAAGCTCAGATTAGGCACATATGAAACAACCAGACTTCAAAGCAATAAAATAATGAATACTTGCACGGCGCTCCACAGTTTTCATATTTCAGTGCATCCAGTGAATCATTCATGTACCAAGCATCTAAAAGTGGTCACAACGTGTCTGGGGCTCTGTTAGGTATTAAAGATTTGATCCTCAAAAAACAAACATTTGATCCTCAAAAAAACTTAGTGAATTACCACAGCAAAAGCACTTCATTGGCCAGGTGCGGTGGCTCGCGCCTGTAAACTAGTACTCTGGGAGGCTGAGGTGGGATGATTGCTCAAGGTCAGAAGTTCAAGACCAGCCTGAGCAAGGGTAAGACCCCATCTCTACTAAAAATAGAAAGAAATTGGCTGGACAACTAAAAGTATATATATATTAGTTCTACTTTTAGTATTTAGCAGCATTAGTTCTACTTTTTTCAGGCATAAAAACTCAGAAAATAAAGGCTATATCGCCAAGTTCATTTCTCATGGATTTTTCTATAAAGGATTATACTTGTTTATTTATCAATATAATAGTAAGCCCCGAAGTAGTTGAATTCACTTTTAAATATAAACTATGAAATAAGAGTATATAATATAAACTATGAAATATATATATATAGTTAGCCAGGCATCATGACGTATGCCTGTAGTCCCAGCAACTCGGGAGGCTGAGACAGGAGGATCCCTTGAGCCCAGGAGTTTGAGGTTGCTGTGAGCTAGGTTAACGCCACGGCACTCTAGCCTGGGCAACAGAGCGAGACTCTGTCTAAAAAAAAAAAAAAAAAAAAAAACACGTCATTGCCCCTTTTTCTACAACCACTGAATATTGAGGCCCAGTGAGGTTCGAACGTTTTACTCAGGACCAGACAGCAAGGAAGACCTGGGTCTTCTGGTGCCTGTTCTGACCCACCACACTGCCTGCCAGCCCATCTTGCCAACCACCATTCTTCCACCCTCCCAGCCACTTTTCCAGGAGATCAAAAAAGAAGAGGCCATGAGGTGTATCCTCTTCTACCTCTGTTTTCTATGCCCCCGATATGTTTATTATTAGGGTGTAGTGGGGGGAGTTTTATTCAGAAAAGGGTGCAGTGGAGGAGGACTCTTCTTTCTTTCCTACCTGTCAGTTCATGTAGCAAAATGAGCCTGTGGAAAAAAAAACATAATTGCAAAACATGCTCAAATAGCCTTAAGGCGAACCTCCCCTCTTTCCCAAGAAGGAAACAAAACAAAGGCCCCTGAGGTCTTTTTTTCCTTCCCTTTCATCATCCATCATGATTGTCTTGGGACTGGTAGTGGGTTGCCTGGTGGTTGAAAGTCCATGGCTCTAATCTTTAGGAACATCTCCTGCCCTAGACACTCCACAAAGTCAGGAGGAACCTCTGCCCATGACACTCAGCAGCAATCACCCAGTCAAGACATGTGTAAAAGTACTGAGCCCCCTTCTGTGTATGTCCTCGGGACTAGTTAGAGGAATTTGACAGATGGGATTAGTGGGGGCAGTGGGGATGGGGTGGGAGGGGCAGGGATGAGGTCTGTCTACCCTAACATGTGTGCCTGCAGTCTCTCCCATGACGGTGCCTACACCACTATTTAGGAAGTATGTTTCTGAAAAATGTCCCTGCCTTAATCAGAAAGGAGCACATTGTATTCGTGGGCTTCCAACTCTCTGTCTGCCTACCAATACACACTGGTAAGGTACTATTACTCTTGAGGGCGGGAACCATGCCTTATTCATCTTCATCTTCATAACTTCCTAAAACAGTGCCTGGAGCATGATGGGGACTCCGTAAATATTAGTTTAGTTAAGACCCCCACCACCAGGAGAGGGATGAGAAACAGCAGGTTCTTCAATCTTGTTCAACCATATCCTCTACCTGTACAGAACTGAAGGGACTAGAACCCTGAGAAGGAAGAAATGGTATTCCCAGGCAGGCTGAGCCATTCCTTCAGGATCAGTCATTCTATGAGTCTAGAGAGCAAGGGGTTCCCTCACCACCCAGTCAGGCTGGAAAAATGAGCAGGGAAGAATTTCATGTAGGCTGTGATGACCCCTCATTTTCCAAGAAGAGAAGACAATGCCAAGGTCGTTTATAGTATGAGTATTTCATTTATGGGGGGTGGGGGGCGAGGATGGAGGGAAGGGCCAGAAAGATTGAGTTTGCTGGTGTTAACGACCACACTTCTGTACTACTATCTCTGGGGGCTGTGGAGCTGTCCAGGGTTCTGACTTCTCTGGCCTCTCTCGACTCTCGGCTCTATAGCCTGGTCCAGGGCTCTTGACTTGGGGCCTGACTGTTTTCAACCTGACCTGCTAAGGACATCCAGATGCATGGTAATCTAGACCATTGTCAAGGTGGCCTTGACTACCAGGCACCCCCACCCCCACCCCAGTTCATAGCAATGAAAGGTAGAAAGTTGCTGATCCAAGTTCAGAGCTCATCTCTGTGTCTCCTGCTACAAAGGCCACTATCTCCAACTCCATCATATCCAAATCCGAACCCCAGCTGACTAAACCCTTTGTTTCTTGGCTGGCTATTCCTGCTGCCACCTCACCTTCATTGTCTGCCTTCTGCCCTCACCTTCCACCTCAGCCTGTTTCTCACGACGAACTTCCAGAGTTCTCTTGGGCATTCCTGCCTCCATGCTGTACCATTCCTTCCAAACCATCTAGGAAAGTAAAGGCCCATATATTTGAGAAAAATGTTCAAAAAGCCATACAGTGACATTTCAGGGGTCAGAGATAATGTTTGTTTTCAGTGTCACCTAAGTGTCCTCCTTTCTTGTTTTCCTCCTCCTACCTGACATGTCCTCTCCTGAGAAAAAATGAGCAATACAGGTATTTTTTACCACTGTGGCAACAACAATCCCCACAGTTTTAATATTGATATCAGCTAACAAATAAAATATAATTGGTTCTCGTTATTCACAGTAGTTATGCTCTATAAATTTGCTGCAAACACTGAATTAGTGAATACTGGACCCTTGCCCTTAGGGGAAATACAGGTTAGTTTCCTGTGAGCCTCTGGTCACAACATTTTTACCAACTGATCAATATGTAACCTTGTTTTATATGTGTTTCTGTTTAAAGGTACCTTATTTAATATATATTGTTTATTGACTAACATTGAACTTATGACCAGCAGCACCATAACTCATACCTGAGCAAAGCTTATCTAACATGTATTTTCTTTGTAATGCGCATCACAGCCTTCTTGTACTTAGGAACACTACACAGCACTTCAACTTGGGAGCCAACCAGTATATTTGGGGCCATTTTAAAACAATGAACTCACCAACAAAAATCACAAAAATGTGAAAAACATGGTACTAAATAGACCACAAAAAGTACTGAAGCAAGAAGGTGATGTTGCCTGGTTCAACCTCAGCTGAGGATGTGTGCATCGGGCAACTCAAATTTTTTCACCACTCTGTGTATGTTCACAAATGACCACATGAGTATTAATTTGATGATTACAAATAAATTTTAGCAAATAGGCAAACCCACAAAGATGAAGCTTTTAAGTAATGAGGATCAACTGCATCTATTGAGCACTTACTGTCAGGCATGGTGTTCAGGGCTGGGGACAGAGTAAGAAACAGCAGGCAACATTCCTGTCACCTTGATGACCTTCTAGCAAAAAAATACATTCATTAAACAAGTAATTAATTTAAATAATGATGTGTCTCCAAAATGGAGGTCCTCCGGATGCCAGTCTGAGGACTCATAGACCTTTCTGAAGAAGTGATGTAAACATCAGCTGAGACTTGAGGAATGAATGGGAGTAGCTTTTAGATGAAGTGTGGTGTTTGCTGAAAGTGGAGGAACACAACTGAGGCAGAGTGAGTAGCACATATCAAAGCCCTGAAATAGAAGAAATCTTGATATGTGGCAGAAACTAAAGAAAAATCCAAAAAGACTACAAAGTAGGGAATTGGGGTGGGAGCTAGAAAGTAGACAAGGAACCAGGCTATGCATGATATCATGAGCCCTGTCAAGGAGTGGGTCTTTATTCTAAACACACCAAGAAACTTGCAAAGATCTGAGATAGTGATCTAAAAGTTGTTAGTACAGAGACA